ATATATATATATATATATATATATATTATAATATTATATAATATTATATAATATATGTATACACTAAATGTACTTTGTGTAAGGCGATCACAGCTATTCAGTTTTCTTTATCACCCCAGTACATGTTAACTGAGCGAAAGAAAAATACAAACCAATTGGGATTATTATCATGACATGTAAAGAAAATAACTTGAAAGAGGTAAGGATTATCTGAATAATACCCAAGGATGTAAACAAAGTTCAACATTTGTAACAGCATTTATGGCAGCACTAGATATAAAGTTTATATGTATATTATTATAAAAATCTGGGCCTTGATTATAATTATTTGATCATTAAAATCTATATATGAGGCTTTTAAAATTAAAGTCTATCAATATAGAGGATCTAGTCTATCAATTGTAGTTTTGAGATAACAGGGATTAAAGTTAATCAACAGTAATCAGCTGCTTATGTTTTACAAGATAATTTATTAATGAATGACACATATTCCGATATTATATAGATAGATAGATAGAAAATAACTTTATTCTGGGACACAATCTCTTGAGAAGAACAAAATTAAAAGATTACATCTGGCCAAAATAAAATCAATCGAAAAAAAAAAATAATGTAAAGAAAATATAAGGTAAACATTCTATATACAAAAAAAAAATGAAACTATATACAAAACAATTAATACTATGAGAAGACACTTAAAGCTATTTGCACTGATAGACCAGTATACACTTAAGAAAACAGTAAAGAATTAAAAAATAAAAATATATCAAATTCTTTATTGAAATCAGCTTTGTGTTTCTGTTGAGAAGTCACTTTAATTCAGCGTAGTGGTGAGAGACATGGGAGTATCTTGGGGCCTGTTATATATTATATAATATTATATATATATATATATATATATATATATATATATATATATATATATATATATATATATATATAATATATATATATATATATATATATATATATATATATATATATATATATATAATATATATATATATATATATAATATATATATAATATAATATTATATAATATTATATAATATATATATATATATTAACAGCTGATTACTGTTGATTAACTTTAATCCCTGTTATCTCAAAACTACAATTGATAGACTAGATCCTCTTTAATTTTAAAAGCCTCATATATAGATTTTAATGATCAAATAATTATAATCAAGGCCCAGATTTTTATAATAATAATAATAATATACATATAAACTTTATATCTAGTGCTGCCATAAATGCTGTTACAAATGTTGAACTTTGTTTACATCCTTGGGTATTATTCAGATAATCCTTACCTCTTTCAAGTTATTTTCTTTACATGTCATGATAATAATCCCAATTGGTTTGTATTTTTCTTTCGCTCAGTTAACATGTACTGGGGTGATAAAGAAAACTGAATAGCTGTGATCGCCTTACACAAAGTAGCAAAATGTAGGTCAGAGAATTTCAACACTTTGAAACCTTTGGGTATCAGCCGTGTGTTCATGTACCACACTATAAATAGATATAATGAGACCCTATCTGTATGTGACATACCTTGACCAGGCTGTCTCCCCACCGTGAGAAAGGCAAATGCAGTGATTTAGTTTAGCGATGAAAAAATTTTTACAATTGAAGAAAAATTTAATCGCCCAAATGATCATGTGTACGCACACAGCTCTAAAGAAGTCCAGGAAGTCATTGGAAGAGTGGAAAGAGGTCATCATCCTTCATTGATGGTTAGGTGAGGAGTTTGGTTTGATGGTACCACAAATCTCCATTTTTGTGAAAAAGGAGTTAAAACATCTGCTAAAAACTATCAGGACGATATTTGGGAACCTGTTGTCAAGCCTCTAAATAATATTCTGTTTGCTGGAAGTAATTGGGTTTTCCAGTGAGATTCCGTACTAACTCAGCAGTGACTGCAAAAGAACATTCCAGAGTTCATCTCTGCCTCGGATTGGCCCTCAGGAAGCCCTGATCTCAACCCACTAGATAGCTTTGCTCCAAACTGGGGAGGACGACATGCTACAGAGCACACCTTAACTTGGAAAATCTCAAACAATCTCTGGTCCAAGCAGCTGAGCGCTTTCAAGAAGTGATACGTGCTGCTATCGATGACTGGTCACAGAGATTAAATGGCTGTGTCAAGGCATAAGGTGGACATTTTGCATAATTTCTTTTTCGGTTTACTCTCTACAGATATACATTTTATTCTCTAACAAAGTTTTTGAAAAAATTAATTTTTCTGTTGAAATCTGTATATATTTCATTTTCTAGTCACATCCTTTAGGTTTGGTGCCATTTTCTCATAATTTTTTTATATATTTATTTTAGGCCAAAGGTCACCAAATATACACAATATACGCAGACAATATCAAGAAAATTGTTGCTCCTCACTAGGGCATTCATACAGGACTGTATGAATGTATGTCTGTAGTCCTGTATGAATGCCCTAGTGAGGAGCAACAATTTTCTTGATATTGTCTGCGAAAGAGAAATGAAAAAACGACATCCTTTGAAATAAAAGAATGACTAAAGGACGAATCACATTGCAATGATAGATTTTAAAAATTTTATGGCGCGGTGCATGTTTTGCAGGATCTTGAAAATGGCTCCTGAAGCCGAAACGTTGAATAAAGAATACAGGAGATAAAAAAACTGTGTATATTTGGTGACCTTTGGCCTAAAATAAATATATACAAAAATTATGTATATATTTCCTTGCAACAATATTTATGATGGGACTAATCAACATAATATGCAGAAAATCAACATTTTAGTTGAGGTTTTAAGTTTCATTATTTCTAACACTTTTGCAACCACACTTAGTAGTGCAACTGTCCCATCCATTCCACTATATCCTCTCCAATGCTACTTTCTTCCAGGCTGTCCCTCCGCAGGTCTTTTTCGTCCTCTTGTCCGAGTCTGTCAGTGGTCGTCCTTTCTTTCTTGGATACCAATCCATAAACTACCTGCTCCATTCCTCCTGATGACAAGTCCGGTCCGGGTGCACTTTTTGCACAATATCTGGGAGGTCAGTCATTACTCTAATTCTTTAATTAGATTTTCAATCTCGTCTTGATATTCCAAGAAGGTATTATTGCTCCATTCCTCTACTTTCACTCTCAATTTATAGCGTCTTTTTTTCTATCATCCATGTTTTGCAACCGCAGGAAGTACTGTGCACATTCCGATTTTTGTGCAATTGCATATTTTGTTTGTATGCAGTTTTTAAAAAGATGATCATATATATATATTATAATATCCCTCTTATATTTTACAAATAATAATATAACCTCAGAAGATCACTTTATACTGTTTGGATACTTCCTAAATAAATAAGTGGTTATTAAATAAAAAACAAAATTATAAGAATATTAACATTTTTATTTATCTCAGGTATGGGTTACTGACAATCAGATCAACTCAAACAAACTATTATTATTTACACTATTTATACTAAAATAAAACACTGATTTTATAATAAAGTCAAGTATGGATTGGCAAGCTAACCTTTTTTCTATATATACTGTTTCTTCCTTTGTTGCACTGAATTCATTTGTCTTCAAACACTTTCCAAAGTTCTGCCAAACAACTCTTCCAAATTGATGACACAATTACTGGGTTTTTCCCACTGGAGCCAGGATCATTCCTCCTATCCTCTCTTCACTACAGTCACACAACAACTGCTCGCCAAAACAAAAACCTTTGCCCCTCTCCTCTTTGAGATTTTCCTTCTTGGGAAATTACATAATATTTATTTTATTTTCCTTGCACTAGTATAACTAGATTAGCTTGATTTTTAATTGTTTAATATTAATTTATTAAACACTTTTAACTCACTTCCAATAAAGGTATACATTACAATATATATATATATATATATATATATATATATATATATATATATATATATATATATATATATATATAAATATATATGAATCAGTGTATCCAGATGCAAGTAGTCTATTTTTATATTGTATATTTGATGACAAATGCATATTTTGACTGGTTTCAAATAAAAAGTAATAATAATTAGAAACTGAGGAATGAATTAAAATAGAACATTGAAGATGAAATTCCATAATACAATTATAGGTTGATTTTCAATCAACAAATAATAACAAAATAACGATACTTTCAGTTATTGAGTTCTTAGAATATGTTTTTTTTTTTTTCATTTCCTGGTTTTTTATCTCCATTTCTCATTTTTTAAACTTCTTAACACAAGACTCAGTTTCAGTTCCTTACTTTTTTTTTAACAAGCAGTTAGGTTTAAAAAAAATGTGTTTATTAATTTAAATCAGATATCATCGCTTACTAATTTTCTAATCCATAAGCGTTTTATTAATTTTTTCCATGTCGTCAATTGTTTACTTAATAACATTGTTAGTTTTCAATCATTACTAATTGTAAATTATATTATTTCAATGTATAATAAATTTCTTTTTATGCGTATTGTTATTAATTATGAGTTGATTTGTCTTTTAACCATTTCCATACCCGTTTGAGTTTTTTAACTCCTTTTTTTTTAATATTGTCAATTATTTATCATTTTTATATACAATTATCTGTAGCTGTTTTATTTGTTGCTAAGTGGAACTTTGATATTATAGTTCTTAAAAAGTTATATTTTTAACAATTAATAAATGTATATTATTATTTATCATGTTATGTGTTAATTATTTTGAATTATAAAAAAAAATTAAATAATTTTATTTGTTTCAATAGTTCATTTTTTTTTTTTATGTCAAAATATTTTGTAGACACATCAGTTGAATTGAATAGTTTAGATGTTTTATTGCATATTTATTGATTTTTTCACTGTATGTTTTATGTTTTATTATTGCATATTTGACAATTTTTCATTATATATTACATGACATATTTTGTGGTTTTTTACTGCATAAAAATCTGGGCCCTGATTATAAGTCAACTGATAAATACATATAATTTTTTTTTTTATAAGCAATAAATAAAATTTAAAAAACAAACCTTTCTCTCTGAAATCACAGAGGTTACATCATCTCGAATCTGCAAAAATTAATAAACATAAACAAAATCAAATCTGATATATTACCTAAAATAATCATAGTGTTATTAATCAAAATTATTAAGAATTATGAAAAAATAATATATTTCTGTTATCATGCACAATCAATATGCTGTTAATCATTCTTATAATGCTGAAATAATTCTAAATAAATTAAATTATATTAAATCTTACTTGTTCTGATTGCATTTCATCAACTTCACCATCTGGAACCTATAACAATCATTAACTATTTTTTAAAATTTTCTTTTCTTTAAAATATAAATGGAAATGGGTGTTTCATAAAAGGAAAGAGAAATACTTACCTTATTAAAAGAGTCGCTACCCAACTGCATTGGGTTAATAATCACAGAATACTGTAAAAAGCTTATAGTATATAAAAAATATTTCATTGGACAAATTATGAAACTAAGAAAGTTCAAAACATTTTTATTTAGGATTACAAAAATTAACCTACTTGATTTCTTGTTTAATCCTTTATGGTAAATTTGTCTTCCACTAAATAAAGATAATTTTTGAACTCACTTTTCTACAAATTAAATTTAAAAAACAATTACAAGATCTCACAAAAGTTATTTGAACCATCTAACTTACATTCCTTTCAATAAATATATTTAACATATTTTATAACGACTCACTTGGATTTCTCATACAAGACTGAAACGACAAAAACTGCTCAACATTTTCAACTACACCAGCATTTAGTAGACAAATGCTCCAAACTTTCTATGTACTACAAAAGACTCATATACATGACTATAATAAGGCCAATTTGGACATACGGAATTGAGCTTTCGGGCTCCACTTAACCATCTAATTCCTCTCGTATCCAGTCCTTACAATCCAAAATCCTTAATGCTCTTTACTTTGTCACAAATAAAATCATTCTTAACGACCTACCACATGTTCCCGATTTAGCCCAATCCAGATACCTATCCTTCCATGGTAAACTTCAAAATCATCCGAACCCTCTCGTTTCAAATCTTACTTCCTCTTTTATACCTGATAACCCTCCAAGGCCTCTGAAAAGAAGATGGCCTCATGATCTACTTATGTAAATATATTATTAGAGTGCTACCAATGGGTAGTTTCTCAACAAGCGTTTCCATATGAATATATTGTTACTGTGTGCATACATTTATTAGATGTATTTTTTTTATTTATACAGCTGTAAATCTTATGAATAAATAAAAAAACAAAAACATATTTTAATAACTTGTCAGTATTTTGAGCTCAAATTGTTTCAACACACTAATGGGATTCTGCTATCGTCTGCAATTAATTCCTATCTACTCCCAGCTCTTCCAAGAAATTAACATTCGAAAGAGAAGTTGTTGCCCTACTTCCAAACTAGAGTTATTGCCAACAGTTTTTCAGACTGAAGGACATCTATGATTATTATCCATAGCGACTGTGATGTTATAAAGCCTACATCTTTCTTTAATAAACGTTCTATTAAACACAAAAAAAGATTTTTTTTATTTCTACTTCATTATGCCTTTCTTCTCTTGAATTACTTCTGACTGCATTTTCTGTGCTAATATTAATATTTTATTATTACAGTTTCATTTTTGACATTTTTTTTTCCTGCTGGCAATACATACTTTGTAAATCTTTTGCCACCTTAACAAGCCTACTCCATCTCTGCCTATCGTGGGCTATTTCTTTCCAATTATCTGCATGCATCTCATTGCACCTTTGTTGATTCTATCAATCCATCTGCTTTTTGGTCTTCCACATGATCTTTTTTTTCTACTATTCAGGCATAAATTGTCGTGTAAAGGCATCCTGATGGATTGCTTAGAGCTACATGTCCCAACCATCTTAACCTCCTGGCCTTCATATCATGATGTATTGATTGATCAGTTTCTATAAGCAGCTGTTCATTGGTCTTTCTCCTCTTTGTGTTAATACTCTGATACCAAATCTCTCCAGTTATCATGCGGAGAATTATTCTCTCGAATATTTCAATACTTTTTCCTAAGGCGCTGCTTAGCATCCAGGTCTCAAAGCCATCTATTAGAATTGGCTTTATCAAAGAATTGAGCACCCGTAATTTGAGATTTTTTTGAATTTCAATACCTTTGAAAGGACGAAGAAAAGTCTATGTGCGCTAGTTATCCGCTTGTCTGTTTCTGACCGTTGGTAATTCGCTGAGGTAATTTAATTTTTCTACTCTCGGGAAGGATTTCTCTTCAAATCCATTTTAGACTGAAAATGTTTCATTGACTTTATCGTACTCCTTATATCACACCATTCAATACCAACATTACTTATGTGATGACCTGGTAGTATAAAGTATGATATATAAACAATAAATTATATCCAATCTTACCAGTTCTTCGTATGAATCAGATATCTTATCTTCTTCAATCTGTAAAAACCACTAACTATTAAACATCAAGTATTAAATTTCATTTAAAACATGAAATTATTTATTCACAAATATAATTATAACTATTTATCCTACAGATTTCAATGACCAATAAATATGAAATACCAATATTTACTAACATTCTATAAGAAACAAGAGTAGTTCAGTGATTAAGGCACTGTGTTCTGATATCTTGGACCAGAGTTTGAGTCTGACTGTGGGAGATTATTCTTTATTGTTATATAAATTATGGATCAACCCTGGTGTTTGAAATTTCTCCTACAGCACTACTAATAAATTCTTGTTGTTCACAGAACATGGTCAAATCATATCCTAACACAAAAATAGGCCTAAGAACAAAACTTCTTCACCAAGTAATGAGCTGAAGACCTTTCATAGACAGTGTTCACATGGCACACATCATTTTAGATTTATTTAAATATAAAAATAAAAAATGAAGAAATATATCCTACTTGACTTCACATGAAATTTTAATATTTACTGCTTACTAAATATAATTCCACAAGTAATACAATGAAAATATTACCATATCAATCCCACCTTATTACTAAAATATAACTAAAATCATTATATCAACAAAAGTTTATACTAAAAATTGATTAACATGCTAAACAATTGAAAAGAAAATTAAATCGGAACTTTTTTACTAAAAAAAATTCAGCACAATTTTAATTTTATTTTTAATTCTTGAAAGTGAAGCATAAAATTAGACTACTATATATATATATATATATATATATATATATATATATACAATAAATGACTTACATTGTGAAAATGTTTTTGATGAATGCGTGAAGGTTTTCTCTCATTGTGTATTTCTCCCTGCGACCCAACTATTTGTTGTGAATCCTGCTCATATAGCTGGAGAATATATATAAAATTTACAAAAGTCAGAGATATCACTTTATTATAAATTCTGAAAGATTAAAAATTATTTTATTTATTTGACCAACTTACCAAGTCATTTAGCACCATTTCTTCGCCTCCGTTATCCTAAAGAATAATGTTGATGTTAATTAATTAAATACAAAAGCATGAACTCTTTTAAACTATAATCAATCAAGTGACATCGAAATATGGATGGAACCTATTAGGAAATATATTACATTGGATATCATTTATAATGACCTTGAAGGGACCAAGTAAATTCTGTCATTATAAACTAATATTGGTTATAATAACCACAGTAGCTATAACCAATCTTGGGATGTCTATAATGGCAGTGGTTGTTATACACAATGTAAAGAAGTGCATCATTTAATCAAACTGGATATAATGATATGCATTTCCTTTTGCGATTGTATATCGTATCAAACAATACTAATGATAGTGGGGAAAAATAGATCTCTTGGAAAAATTCTGTGTTTTATTGGAAATATTTATCATGAAATGTGTTGAAAAAATTTATATGGGAATTATTAAATATGGTAAATTATTAGGTTTACATTAGTAGATTTTCAACATTTCACATAAAAACTTTTTAGGAAGTTATGGATAAGTGATAAATAAAAGTTAAACAAACAATATGAAAGCCCTGTACAGAGGGGTATCGGGTAAAGGGAGAGGATTGGCAGAAATTTAGACAGAAAATTAGACTACTATATATCACTAGCGGATCCAGGATTTAATTTTGGGGGGCTTCAGCCCAAAAGTTTTTTTCCCATAAAAATAACAATAATTACTTTGGAAAAAAAAGAAAGAAGCTAACTACCTGTATGAAATGGTGTTTAAGTGATTCCTAAAGCCCTTTAAAATGTAATTACAAGAACAATAATACTTTAAGAGATACTTTTTAAATATTTTTTTCGATAAAACATGGTTATCAGGTTTAGAAAATAAACTAAAAGAAAACAGAAAAATTCATGAAGAGGAAATTAGAGAGATAAAAACTTTAGGGAAAGAGAGGAAAATTTCACTAGAAGGAAAAATATAATTATATTTGGTTTAAATAGAGAAAAATATTCAGATATAAATAATAGGGTAATAGAAATATTAAACTATCTTTTACCAAACTTTTGTTTGTATGATATATTAGAAATAAGGAAAATAAACCTTAAAGTTGAAAATGGCCCAGTGATAGTTAAGTTAAATTCGATTTTCTTAAAAAGCAATATTATGAAGAATAAGTTTAAACTGAACAAATCAGAAGACTTTAAAATAATAAAAATAGATAACGACTTGCAAAAGAGTGTTAGAGAAATTCGGAAAGAACTATACCCATTTATGAGAGCACATTGGGAGAAGGGTAATAAGGCTTCACTGAGGCATGACAGGCTTCTTATAAACGACCAAATTTTTTTCTCTAGAAAAATTACCATCTCAAGAAATTTCAAGAAAAAAAAAGAGAAAGGAGTGAAAATAAAGAAAGTGAAATATCTAGGAAAAATGCTTCTAAAAAACCAGAGCCAATTCATAAAGGAAAAAAATGAAAGATACTAAAACCCACCATAGATCTATTAGTCTGGACAAATTTTTGGTGACTCATAAAGAAGAAAATAGAGACCATGATAAAAATGAAACCCCAAACACTTGTTCATAGCATAAACAGGATCCTAACTTTCAAGATAATGATAAAGGCACTCTCATGGTACGCACATTAAATGTTAGGACATTGTTAAGTGAAGACAGGTTAGAGGAGTTCATTCATGTTCTGGAGGATACTAATTGGGACATTATTGGTCTGGCAGAAGTAAGAAGAAAATTTTGTTTGGTTTTGGAACAGAAATCAGGAAATGTTTTCATACACACAGCATCACAAAATGGAATGTTTGGAATAGGATTTATTGTATCAAATAAATTAAAAAACAGGATAATAGATTATAAAGAAATAAACTGCAGAATAGCCGTGTTAGTGTTCGAAATTACTTCCAGTAAAAAATTAACTGTTTTGCAAGTGCATGCTCCTACGATGGTGGATTCCTATGAAGCAAAAGCAAAATTCTATAAAGAACTAGACACTGTTACTTCCAGCTATAAGCGAAAACATAATTTGATTATTGTGATGGGAGGCTTTAATGGCAGGGCTGGTGTTAAACTAGATGGTGAAGATAGGATTATGGGATTGGGGATACGGTAAAAGAAACGAAAGAGGAAACCAGCTAATCCATTTTTATTTTAGCCAACGTTTACAAATTGGAAATTCTTTCTTTAAAAGAAAATCTAAAGAAAAATGGACTTGGTGCTCACCAAAAGGATACAAGTTTGAGTTGGGCTATTTTCTGACTAATCAAATTAGTTTAGTCGAAAATGTGGAGGTCATGCAAAGGCAAATTTCAACAAAGATCACAGGATGTTAAGAGCAAAGCTACATATCGAAAAGTATAAAAGAAGAAGACCATTTAGGGCAAAGAAGAAGCACTTACTTCATTGAATGAAAAATTTCAAGTTGAACTCACAAGAAATCTGCAGCATAGCTATGAAAGTATAGAAGGAAAAGCACTTAGTTCAGTTCAGGAATATAATATTATTGGCAAAGCCATTGAAGAAACAAGGGCACAGAGCCCTGGGTTCAGTATGGTAAACCAAGTAAATTATCAGAAAGTACTAAAGAACTTTTAAGAGTTCGTAAAAAGATAAAGAAAAGAGAAGACATTACTGAAAAGGAAATAAAAGGTCTCACGGTTCTGAACAATGAAATCAGGAAAAGAATAAAAGAAGATCTGGAAAATTATAAAAATGATATGGTCACTAAAATTCTTCTAAGCAATAACTCCACAAGAAAAATTCAAAAATAATCGTCCAAAGGTAGGCAATGGATGGTTGCTCTTGAAAACAGGAAGAAAGAAGTTATAACTGACAGGAAAAACATAAGAAGGGTGGCAACGGAATACTTCAGAGAACTTTATAAATGTAATCAGAAGAGAGTGGAAATAAATTGAGAGCCAGATGAAGTTCAAGAAGAAATCCCACCAATAATGGAACAGGAAGTGGCTGTTATTGTAAAAAACTTGAAGCATGAAAAAAGTCCTGGGCCGGATGATATTACGAACAAAATTTTAAAAACAGGAGGAGAAGTTCTCATTTGGGAAGTTACAGAACTATTTAACTTAATTGTTGAAAATGAAGAAATTCCAGAACAGTGGAAAACAGCAAAAATAATTCTATTATACAAAAGAGGCAATAAACAGGATATGGAAAACTATCGACCGATTTCCCTTAGTTCTACCATGGCAAAGCTTTTTACCAGTGTCATTAAACAACGGCTCACCAAAAGAATCATGGAATGTATAGAGGAAGAACAAGCGAGTTTTAGAAAAGCTTTTTCAACTGTGGACCACATTCATACAGTAAACCAGATGATAGAGAAAGCTAAAGAATATAACTTCTCTCTGTATTTCTGTTTTCTCGATTTTAAAAAAGCTTAAAAAAAACTTTCAATAGTGTTCTACATACGGGTGTTCTTAAAGCTTTAAGAATATTAGATATCGAAGAGAAATACGTGAGAATTATCGCAGAGCTATATAAAGATATGACAGCATATGTAATGACAGAAAAGAGGGGTCAAATCTTTCGTGTCGAAAAGGGTGTTAGGCAGGGGGATCCGTTATCTCCCTTGTTGTTTATTCTGGAGTTGGAAATGAGCTTTTGGTCTCTTGGTTGGGAAAATGTAGGAATAAAGGTGAATGGTAGATTTTTAAGCAACTGACGTTTTACAGATGACATTATACTTTTTGCCAACTATTCCCGACAATTACGAGAAATGCTAAAACACCTTCTAGGGGCCTGTGAAGAAATTGGTTTATACCCAAACCACAATAAGACGAAACTAATGACCAATAGTTCAAAGGAAGAAATAAAAGTGAACAACTTCACCCTGGAATACGTAGAGGAATATGTTTACTTGGGACAGTTAGTTTCCTTTTCAGACAGAGTTACAAAAGAAGTCCAGAGAAGAATAGCATTTGGTTGGAACAAGTTCTGGTCTCTGAAGTACATAACAAAAGGAAACATAAGTATCGACCTAAAAAGGCTAGTTTTCGATAGATGTATTATGCCAGTGGTGACCTATGGCTCCCAAACATGGTCATTGACAAAAGCCCAAGAGAGGAAGATCATGGTGTGGCAAAATAGCATCGAAAGAAGCATTATGAAAGTAAAAAAGATAGATAAAATCAGATGCAAGAAGATAAAAGAAGAAGCTGGGTTCAAAGACACACTCTCGCAAATAAGAAAAGGCAAATGGAAATGAAATGGACATCTTCTGCGATGCAACGACAATAGATGGTCAAAAATAGTCGCCGAATGGACTCCATATGACCGGAAAAGGATGAGAGGCCGACAAATGAAGAGATGAAGAGATCCATTTAGGCTTTTGGCAGGACCTCTCTGGCAGAGAGCAGCTAGGGACAGAGATGTGTGGAAAGAAAATTGGTTAAAGGTCAGAAATACCACTTCCCAGTAGGGCTAGTCACCCAGGGAAGTGTAAAAGACTATTACTCCTAAGGGAAGGCCTACACAAGATAGTAAAACGTTTTGTATAAATTATAAAGTAAATAACAAAAAAATTGTTTTATTTGCTTTTGAAATTTTAATATTAGTGCATAAATAAAGGCTATTTTCATTTGACTTCATATATATAATAAATGACTTACATTTTGAGAAGATTTTTGATGAATGCGTGAATGTTTTCTATCATTGTGTATTTCTCCCTGCGGCCCAACTAATTGTGGTGAATCCCGCTCATATAGCTGGAGAATTATATATAAAATTTACAAAAGTCAAAGATATCACTTTATTATAAATTCTTAAAGATTAAAAATTATTTTATTTATTTGACGAACTTACCAATTCATCTAGCATCATTTCTTCGCCTCTGTTATCCTAAAGAATAATGTTGATGTTAATTAATTAAATACAAAAGCATGAAATCTATAAAATTATAATCTATCAAGTGACATTGAAATATGGATGGAACCTATTAGTTAATATATTAATTTTCAGTGTATTTTAATAAAATAAAAATTCTAGGGAAAATAAATCATACAGTAATAATATCCCTAGTCATTTTTAAGCAGTATATATGGCAAATTTTATATAAATCGAGGATACCATTTTATTATAAGTAATACACTTAAGATAAAGAAGTAATGAATATATATACATATATAATTAACTTACCAAGAATACAACTCGCCTGTTTTTTTCATCTCCTTTCTGAGAAATAATTTTAATTAGTTATATACAATTAGTACAGTAAAACCTTTTAATTTAGGTATAATTGATTTAATTTGGATTTAACACCTTTCCTATTGAATAATAAATATTAATAACAATGATTTAGGGAGTGAAGTAGCTCAGTGGCATTCCACTGATCTCCCAATGCTAAAGGTCCCAGGTTCGAATCCCGGCTCAAAGCAGAAAAATTATTTATTCTGTTTCATTGGCTGTGGGGCTGCACTGGGGTTAGAGACTCTCCTGGGGCACACCCAGCCTCTATAAAGTGGGTACCCTTAATTAAATAATTAATTAAGGGGAAAAACCTGGCGGTTGAGCGTGATCTAAGTCAAATCACCTCCTTGCACAACTGTTGACTAAGAAACAGTACTTTCCCTAAATAGTATTGAACCCAAGACCCTCCATGGGTTGTAGTGGTACAGGTTTTTTCTTTTTGTTTAATAATGATATATAGAAGATTATAGACATATATAACAAATTTATATTTGTTTATTATATTAATATTCTTATAATTTTGTTTTTTATTTAACAACCTCTTGTTTCTTTTGGAAGTATCACTATAGTATAAAGTGATCTTCTGAGGTTATATTATGATTAGTTTAAAAATATAAGAGAGATGTTACAATATGTCTATTGAAAATAATATTAATGTCAGTTGATAATTCTAAGAAAAATAAATAAAAAAGAAGTTTGCAAATATTTATTAAAAGAACATACCAAATCATTCAATGCAGAATCATACTCTTGTTGATTTGAAGGATAAACCTGTATATAAAAATTTAACTTAGTTAATAACATAATATCAAATGAATAGATAGGAAAATATTTCTCTTGACCCACATGGTAACTAGGATCCATTTTATTAATTATTATATACATTTTGATTTCGAGAAAATTTTGATTTTTTTTATGATTATGTGTGAGATTATTAAAGTATGAATCAAGTGTCTATTCAAAGTCTAAAATACAAGAAATATATTTTAATATATTGATTGAATTTAATTTCAAGAGTGCTGAAGCATTTTCCCTCATTATCCTAATTACAATAAACACTATCTTCATTATATGGCATGAGTTCCTTTTCTGTGATCAGATAAATTAAGTTTCATTCTTAGAGTAATTGAAAATACAATTTTTGGTGTTTTATAATTGTTAACCAAATAAATAATACAGGTTCAACATCTTTGAAGTTTATGTGATCAATAATCTTTAAAACAATAACAACATAATAAATAGAAATTTTTTAAAAATTCTACATCAAATATCCAACTGAAAAGTTCTCATAAACATAAGTTCTATGTCCCTCTCGTTTCGCTTAAAAACTTTATTTTATCAAAATAATTTATAGAATTTGAATGAAAAGAGAGGAAATTTCTGTTTTTCAAAGATTTCAAAATTTCAAACGAAATTTTCATTAAGACTATCTGGTTTGTCAAAAATACTGTATTAACCCTTTGACTGTGTGAGCTCATTCGCGTGTTTCTACCAGATGGTGCATCCTGAAATCCAAAAAGAAAAACAGTTTTTTTTTACATAAATTTGTTTAAAAAGCTATTTTGAGTCACCCTGCATGATCTTAGCTTTCAAAAATATATTTTAACCTTTTTATTCAACTTTTAATAAATGGGACATATTTATGTCCTTCCTGCTGCACAAAGCAATGCAAAATTAGAGCAGCAATAGCACAATACTTCGCTTTCTTGCGTATTTTCTTATTTCCGGAAAGCAAAATAACTGAAAATTATCATAAATAAACTGTAAGTGATCATAAAAATTAAATTATATGATTTCAAAAAAAATAACACCAACAGCAGGATTCAAGTATATATTTCTTCGTATTTACAAATTTTTTTCTAACCTAAAGAGTTGCATATTGAAACTTAGCGCAGTTATAAATTTTATTATTGCGTTTAAATTTATTTTTAGTTTCAAACATTTTTATACTATATGAAACATATATATTGTTTTTAGGTGGATGGAAAAATTATAAAACTACTAAAGTATCATTTTAATTCGGTATATTTTCACATTTATTAGTTTTTACTTTTACATTCACAACTAAAATTAAAAGATAAAATTAACATTTATTTGAAGTGTAAACATTTAAATAGAATAGGAAATCATGGATATGACACAAATAACAAAGAAGAACATACCTTGGATTCAGAATAAACCTGCAACTTATAGCTTCTAAATGGTCAGAATCTCGAACAACTGCACTAAATCAGCTACAGGGGATTAATGACTGCACCGTACAAGCCACAAGTCAAATGGTGAAGGCGGGACTTGCCCTTATCTGTTCAAGTGGCGACCGCCCAGGCGGGAAGATATATATCCCAGACACACCAGTGACCAACTCTTAATGGAAAGGCACGTATTCCATCCACAGTCAAAGGGTTATGTGTTATAATTATTTTCAACAAAAAACTGTCATGAAATTTTCAATAGATCATAACTTGTTAAATCATGCCAATATTGTTTTCATTATCTGAAAAACTGGAGAACTTAAGAACCTTAAAGATGATAGGGGATGTGATACTAAATTTTTAGGGTCTCAAGGTAAGAACGAAAAAAATGAGGGAAGGTTCAGTTTTTAAAAATATTACTAATTTTTAAACTTATCCTAAATTTAAAATAGTAAATTTTGACTTTTTTTGTTACTCCAAATGTGCCCCACTACAAGTATTTCTGTTGCTAACCCCCACTTAAGTAAGCCTGATTTACTAACATTTAGTTTCAATTGAATTTGGCACTCTATAGTGATAAGCTATAAATATTGTATATTAGTATATCTATTCATCTGGTGGCACCATTATATTTTAAAACAATAGTTTATTATTATTTTTACATTAGAGTTTCATTTTTCTATTAAAGAATTCAGTATATTGGCATATATATTTAAAGAACTTACCCAAAACGTTTTTGCACCTTTATCCAGGGAGTCCTGTAGAAAAATAAATTTATAAATTATAAAGAAATAATTAGAAAAATGAACTCTAGGTACATTATTAAACTAGAGGTTTAAATGAGATACAGTTCTAGTAAATTACATAACTTTCAGCAGAGCTTGATCCATCCTGCTCGTTCCTGTGATAGCTCCCTTCTTCTCCAATCCAGATTCCTGGCTTCAAACGCCTTCCTAACATTTATCTCAAGTTTTCCTAGGTTGTTCTCAGCTCCTTCTTCCATCCACTTTTAAGTCATAGGGTATCCTAGCTATTCTCCAACCTGATATCAGCAAGAAATGTCCAAACCATCGCAGACAATTCTCTTCCAAGGTTTTGAGTAGTGATTTTAGGCCGAGATTGTTCCTTATCGTGGTGTTTCTCAATCTGTCTCGGCAGATTTTTCCTTTAATTTTCCAGGGGGAATCTCATTTCCATGTTTTGGAGTTGGCATGTATGCTTGCAGGTTAGACTCACTGGAATAAGTTAGGGTAGGCAAAAAGGTGGTCTTGTATGCTACCTTCTCTGTATCTTTCTATCTTTCGAGACCTCAGCTTTTCCAACAAAGGAATTTCACAAAGGATTAAATAACGTCCCTACTGCAGCTATTTCCTCCCTTATTTCGTAGTCTATGGTATTTCGCTCACGTATATGTGCTCCAAGGTGTTTGAATGTACAACTATACTATATAATATTAGTTTAATACATGGAAGTTACTTCTTTTTGGCTTTGCATATTTCTTACAGTATATTAGAAAAAAAAATTATTAATAAAACTACTACAGGCTGAATATGTTTTTTAAAAAAAATTATTTATTACATATATATTTTTAAGTAGTAATAATAATTTACTAAATTAATGTAATTACATTTTGTATAACATTTAATTTAATAATATAATATTTTATAGATAATACAATATAGTACACAAAAATTCCTAGATTTCTGTTAAATGAATTGATCTGTATCTATAACTGACAAAGATAATGTTCCTAGAGGTTCCTGGATAAATTACTGGAGGTCACAATAATACACACATTTTTCAAAACTTTTATCCTTCGATTTGATTATGGTCATAGCAAATGCAGCTATTAATAGGAACGTTGTTCTTTGAAAGTCAAATGTAAGTATAGTGTCAGAAAATGTTAAATTAATTCTTGGAATTAAAATTCTTTAATTTAAAGTAGCCACTGTTAATACTTCAGTCTCATTCCTGTTCCATTAACTAGTGCTTGTGCATTATTTAAGTTAACAATGAGTATAACTATAGAATATATTTTTAAATTTAATTTATGAGGTATCATTCCACTAACATTACATGATATCATCTCTTCAAATAATAGACCCAATTACCTCAGTAAATGAAAAGTTTTCGATTTATCAAAAAAACAAAATAAAGGAAATCGAATTTGCAAAAGAAAAAGTACTAAATGTTTAAAATGATATATCTCTGCAACAAATAGTCCGATTTTGATTTTTTTTTTTTTGTTTTGTAGGAAATTCAGGAAGCTTTCAATTAAATATTGGTATTATCAATATAAAAATGTGTACTTTTTGAGTTATTCGCAAATAAAATACTGTATGCAGCTTGTTTTCGGGAAAGTATGTTATTTACATAAATTATAAAGGTCTCAAGGGAAAGACTTTAGCCAAGTTTCATTGAAATCGTTGAAGCCGCATTGGCGCTACAGTCTAACGCGAATCACGTTTTTCGGCCGCCATTTCAAAAGGAAAGGCCCAATGATAATGAAACGTATACAAAAAAACTTCTTAATATTATTGCAACGTTGTGTCAAAATTTAAAAGAAATCGGTGAAGAACTTTCGCAGATAAGCCGTTTTGAACAAACTACCATTTATAGTTTTGTTTATATACTATATAATATTTGTATTTATTGATAACACTAAAGCTCGTCAAAATCTATTAAACAAAAAAAGAAGGAAGAAAATCGGTTGAATAATAGAGGAGTAAAAGGGGCTGAACCGATTTGTGTTTGCCTATTTATATAATGATTACCACGCATGCCAGAAAATCCAAAAAAATAAAAAATAAATTAAATCTTAGTAATAATTTATTGTAGACATTTTTTCTCGAAACACTGGTACTTTTAGATGAAAGGATATAAAATCACATGATTGGTTTTTACACAATTTGAAGCAAATCTGAAGTTTTCTCTAATAAACCTCCACTCAATTAATATGGGCATAAAACTTATTAAAAGAAGAAGTTTTTCTAAAATTGGAATGTCTATAGTATAGTTGGAGGATGATAAAAAAATCATGAATAATTTATGATTTTTTTTAAGAACAGAACTTAGCTTAGTTTATTCGCTTAAAAATCTCCTTTAAATGGTATTAACAATGACAAACTATATTTTTATTTGATGTAAATTTAGTTATAGTTTACTGTAACATAAGCCATTGTTAATTATTTATATTAAATATTTTTTTTAGAGGACTCTTCCTATTCAACAAAAAGTATGTTTACTTAAAAAAACACAAAACTTGGACTTCTTACATTTCTGCTGAAAATTGCACCATCATTAATAGCACATTTTGTATAGCTCTTGATGTCTGCTATCACTCCTATAAAAACTTCCCTCTACTTAGGGGACACCCTGGATATACAACCTAATGGATATACAACCTAAGTTTCTTGTCTCGACTTCCAAAGAATAGCCCTGATGATGACCCACATGTTTAGGTCAAAACATCGGCTAACTTGTTAAAGTAATTTAGACTGAAATTGATTATAATTTTGTTGCTATCCATTGGCCTATAATTTTAATTAAAATATTATGGCATTAAAAATAAGAGTTATGACAAGGACATAAAATACTATTTTAACTTTAGAAGTTTAAAATACCTTATATTTCAATTTACTAAGGAATATTTAAACTTACGCCTTTTACTCCTATATAGTGTATATAAAACTTCTTATCCTCCTGAAGAGACTAAAAAACATAGAAATACTTTAATTAGTAATAAATTGTATATCAATACACAATTGACATAAAATATGCCATTTGTTGAATTTCATATAAAGGACTATTGGTAACATGTTATTGATAAAATCGTGATTAACATAATTTTTAAACTTTGCAAAAGTGGACTTTTCACAGAGGAAAAAAAATTCAAAATACAAAAAAAAAAGATTTTGATGCAAGATAAAGAAGGTAATTTGGGGTATGTATGTTTTCAAGATAAGTGCTTTGTTGTCTCATTAAACCCTGAACTACTGATGTGAATAAGAATGAGACGAGATTTTATTACTTGAATATACTTGTAAAGCAACTGGTATCACTCTTTCTTTTCACTTTTTATTTAACCCCCACATCAGACTGAAACGACTAGAAACCGCCCGACGTTTTCGACTACTGCAGCACTTACTAGACAAACGCACTAAACTTCCAACTATTTACAAATCATTCATATATATTACTATAAGAAGGCCTATTTGGACTTATGGGATTGCGCTTTGGAGCTCTACTAAACCATCAAATTCCTCTTGTATCCAATCCCTACAATCCAAAATCCTTCATAAAATTCCCAATGCTCCCTACTTTGTCACAAATAAAATCATCCATAACAACCTTAATGTACGATATGTTTCCAATTTAGCTCAATCCAGATACCTATCCTTCCATAATAAACTTCTGAACAAACCGAACCCTCTCGTTTCTAACCTTGCTTCCTCTTCTATTTCTGATAACCCTCCGAGGCGTCTGAAAAGAAGATGGCCTCGGGACCTTCCAATATAGAAATATAATTTGAGTGCTACCAATGGGTAGTTTCTCTTCATGTTGTACATGTCATGTTACTTGTTGTATTGATCACTTAATACAGTTGTAAATTACAATAACAAAAAAAAATTATTTATTTTTAGTGACTGAGTAAATATGATTGGCCCATAAGGAAATGGTTGGGAATGTTGGGGTATTGGCCAATTAATATTGGGTCAACTGTTTTTTAACAACTAAATATCTAGAGGGTGGGGTGGCCTAATGGGTTAATGCATGTGCAGAGCACCACGAGTTGCCTGGCAACCAGATAACCCAGTTATGAGAGATTAAAAAGGTATGAGTTCGCGTCCTGGTGCCATGAGGGGATTTAAAATTCCCCGGTCCAGGAAAACCCTGTATAGCCTAAAAGGCGAGGTACGGAAGAGCTAAAAAAAAAAACAACTAAATATCTACAGAAATGGCATAGTTGTAATACTGCTGTCCCCTTAACATTAGGCCTATAGTTTTTTTCTATTATAAATCTATGGAAATGGAGTGTTTACTAAACAATTCTTCTGACCTTGAGCAAGTTCATGATTTAGTTTTGATTTTTTACTTTCACTTCATTTTAAGATTACGCCACTGTGTTTCGACTTATTTAAGTTTTTCAGATGAATAAGATATAAGGGTGTATTTTCATGTTTCCGGAGCCACAGACTTTGAAAATGACCTCAATTATAAGATTACATCATTTGTCCCTCTTCTATTCAGCTGCAATCCAATTTCTCAAGTCACATGCGATACAGTCTGACCATTATCTGTCTGGGTCTGTCAACTCTGCGCCTGCCAAATAGCTGTTCCATTATTATTTTATTCGGGATTGACAGCTCTGGTATACATGCGAGATGTCCCGCCGACCCTAATATTCCTGAATTGATAATTGCAACTACATCAGGCTCATTAGCGGGTATAGATTTATCTATTTATACGCCTTCTCCATAGTTTGTTCTCGTAGGTGGGTCCATAGATTTGGTGAAGGATTTTACTTTCAAAAGTAAGCAGTTCTCTTTCAACTACCTTTGGAGTAGTCCAGGTCTCAGAATAATAAGTTAAAATAGGGTGGATGAGGGTTTTGTTGAGGATGAACTTGGTGCACTGTGAAACAAATCTACTAGACATGTGTAAGCGGAGTCCATAATAACAGCGATTCGCTGTGAACATTTTTCTCTGCATCTCTGCCAAGATTCTATTGTTGCACGTCACTTGTGCACCAAGGTATATAAATACCGACACATGTTAAAACATGCAGGGACCAAATGCAATTTTAGTAGCAATCTATCGGAAGAGAGGGGCTGATCAGACACCATATACTTTGTTTTGTCTTGGTCGAAAATCAGGGCGACGTCATGCGGCAGGCTTAAGAGCCAGGAATGCTTCTTATGCAGCCTGATATGATCTGCTTTGTCTATTTCATCAGCACATGCCAGAAGCTGAACTGTTCCTGTTGAAAACAGTACCTGTTATCTGAATTCCTGATCCTCTGATAGATTTTTCAGGACAGAAATGGAGATGGTAATTTTAACAGATAAAAGAGATGGTAATTTTATTTATGTTTAGTATCTATACATTGTATAGACACACTGAATTCAAACTATCTCTTCGAACAGCCCTGATGAAGGCCTGAACTTCAGGTCCAAACGTCGGCAAATGTTAAAATAAATATTATTATTTATTTTTGCCTTTTTATTTCTGACTGATCACCTCAACCATCCTTCTCTTCATTATAAATAATATAATATAATATAAATAATATTATATATAATATAATAATTAATATATTTTAGTCAAGAGGAAATGCCTAGATAAAAAAAAAACTGCTGTCACCTAGGTAAAATCAAACAACCACCTCCAGATGAATAAATACCATTTTCCATCCAAATTTTTAACCTAAAATTTTTATTTTGTATTAGAGGAGCATTAGGTAAACAGGAACTCAACACGTATGTAATTAAATGAACAGCTGTATAACTAGTGCTAATTATAAAAATAGTAACTTCCTACTCGCCTAATACTAAAATAAAATAAAATACGAAATACACTAAAAACTTTTTTATATAATAGAGAAATGTAAAAATAAGCTCTACATAAGGTAAGATTTTAAGGGGAAAAAACTTCTACAGAACAGTGATTAACATTTAAAGTCTACACCTTAGTCAACAGAAAAAAAAAAATAACAATCTGTGTAGTTTTTTAGTCTTTGGTTGGCTTTTAAATATTCAAACATACCTTTATATTACTTGATTCTAAGCTGTTATCAGCAACTATGTAATCGCTGCTGGATGATACATGAGAATTGATTACTCGGTCCTGAAAATAAAAATAAATAATTTACGGAAAGTTAGGTATGTCTTCATTTCATCAATGGTCTAAAACTATATATTTTCTATCTGTAAATTAACTGGGAACATTATAAGTAATCATTACAAATTATTAATTGCATTATTAGTTAGAGAAGGTCTTATAAAGTCAACATCGAATTTCATCAATATATTGTGTGTTTAAAGACTACATTGCATCAATTATATTGATGTTAATCAAACTAGTTAGTATAATTTTTTTTTTTTTGGAGCATGGGAACGCCTTGAAATTCCAAAGATGAATCTTATGAAACAATAACCACAAGGCTCCTCTTTATCTCCCACCCTTTTTTCCATCTACATCAATGACTTTTCATCCTCTATCCTACACTGTCAATACCATCTGTATGCCGACGACGTCCAGATTTACCTCTCTTTCAATCCAACCGAATCCTCTGGCGCCATCCGAAAATTACAGGAGGATATAAACGCAATATGTGCCTGGGCATAAAGTTTGATATATTTTTAAATCCCTCTTTTTAAATATATCTTAGGGACTTAGATATGTGATCCAAATAAACTGATGGAGTCATGAGGTTTTTATTGCCTACTATCGACATAATAAATAGTGTTTGCATTATTCTTATAGTCTTAATGATTCTTTTCTCTCTATAATATAAACAATTTTTTAGTGACCGTGTCATACTTTATTTTACACATACAGTCGGACGGACTTAAATTAAGACAGCACACATCTTATTTCCAGAATTATTTCTCTCTTATCATTGGTACAAATTGCCAATAAGAATAATTATAATAATATGAATTGACAATAAGGGGCAATGTATGCAAAAATGCGAAAAAAAATTAAAAATTTGTCTGAACTTTGGTTTTGTTCCATTTATATTTTGTTGATAAACAAATAATACAATCTGAACAACAGAATACATCTAAGTTACAATTATACAATGTGAGCAATGAGTAGAACAATTAAATGAATGTAAAATAGGGATTGGTCCACTTTCAGGAGGGCAGGGATGCCTCTGGTTGATAAGTATGACCAAAGTTCGCAGCAGAATTAAAATACTAATACCGATAAGAATAGAAAAAAATACTAAATGATTAAGGAATTTTAAAGTATTTAATCTTACCTCATTGCTTACAGATACCACACCTTTGGCATCATGTGAGGATAAGGTTTCATCAACAACACATTTAACTGGTTCCTAAAAATAAATAGATTACTAAAATCCCCTGACATTTCCCTATTTAGTGATAGTTTTACCAGAATAATATATCTTGGGACACAAATAATACAAACGTATAATTTATAACTAAATTTATTTATTATACATAAAAGAAAATTATCTAAAAAATGATCTGAGTAACAAACATTTACTAAGGTCAATGACAAAAGGGACTTTCGGGAGGTCTAACATGGCCATTGTACAGAGATATGTTGCTCGTGTATGGTTACAGTAACTGCAGCAGTATAGTGGCTGCATTGGAACTCCTTTAAGTTCATTAATCATTGATTTTTCTAAATTTAATCACTTTTTTTTTTAATGTTGTCTACTTTAGAATTTAATTATCTTGACCTGTTTTTGAGCAATTCCTTCTTAATCAATAAAAACCGTGACTACCTTAAGAAAAACACAAAATTCGTCTTAACACATTTTCAATTCGGAATCGGTCAATGAATCAAATGAATTTTTTTGTTATAAATTTTGTCTAGAATCGTTCCCCACAGTTTGGCCATTAAGAAATGAGACACGAAGTCACATTGGTAAATAACGATACATTATTTTTAATTTTTTTATTTGTAAAATAATTATATTTATAAATTTTGTTTTCAATTTAAATATACTAATTAATGTACTGGTGTCAATTATCTGAACCTGTAATATTCAGAGTCCATGAACCAATTAAGCCCAAAGCATCCACATAAACTATTTAAATATAAACAAAAATGAAAGAAGTAAAATGTAAATATAAAAATAAGGGCCCATACATTGCAGAACTAATTTAGAAGTATAGAGAAGAAACAAATATGAATAATTTTTAATTATAATTAGTTCCGGATTCCTCACTTTCCAAGGAAAATTCTTTAACCAGATATCAGGCTTAGCCATGGGAAATTCTTTAGCACCAGATATTTCCAATATTGTTCTTAATGACCTTCTAGACTCCATTATCCCTTCTTTCCATTAAGACATTATTTTCATTAAAAAATATGTCAATGGCCTCCTCCTTGTTCTTAACCCAGACAGCATTTCTCAAATCCTTTCCTCATTCAACTCTTACCACCCACGTCCTCGTTTCACTATAGAGAAAGAAGTTAACAATTCATTCCCCTGCTTAGACCTCTCTCTGCTTAATCATCTCTCTCTTTATTTGATCCACAATATCACCAAACCAACACTCAGCGTGTCAAAAATATACTTCTTTCCAATAATTTCCCTCTCAACAATATACTTAAACTTTTAAGCAGCTATACAACCAAAAACAGTACACCTCCTCCCACTTCTCTCAACTTTCCACAATCACCTACCACTCCTTTCATATACAAATCTCTCTCCTATATTCCGATTCTTTCAGAGAATATACGAAAATTCCTAAAATCGACTATAACCAACTTACATCTTGGCCTTAAGTCCCATAACAAACTTTTTTTCCTCTTCACCAACTTGAAGGATCTCATACTTTAACAACACTAATCCAATGTAGTTTACCGGATACCCTGCTCTACTCCTAATTGTAATAGTTCCAATGTTGGCGAAACTAAAAACCGTATTTCCCAACATAAAACATCCATAACCCTTCTGATTCCAAACTATCAGAACATGCCTTAACCCTCAACCATTCATTTGATTTTGAAAAAAACCTCTATTCTTGCCACGGTCCCTAACCATTAAAAAAGACTCATTACCGAATCCATCTATATTCACATGGAACAGAATCCTGTTAATCATAAAGTAGATAAAAACATCATTTCTTTAACATATAGGCACATTTTAAATCCTATAAGTGAAAAATAACTTATTTATTACATCTTCTATTTTTTTTATCTAGATCTTTTTATTTTTTATCTATTTTCAATTTTTATTGATTAATTTAATTTAATTGTTCATTACTTTTTAAGTATTTCCACTTTGTATGATCTCTTTTATTTTTAATTTTATATTTACATTCCACATCAATGTACAATCATCCGTTTTTACTTTGTATTCATTGTACTTTTAACCATTATGTTTCCAAATTATCTAATATTTAAATGTAATTTTCTTACTATATGTACAACTAATTATAACAATAATTATTCACATTTGTTTCATCTCTATACTTCTAAATTAGTTCTGCAATGTATGGGCTCTTATTTTTATATTTACATTTTACTTCTTTCATTTTTGTTTTTATTCACATTGTACTTCTATCAATAATTTTTCAATTCTATTTTTTATTTAATTGTATATATTTATAGTTTATTAGTTTATAGATATCGTAATTTTTCTTATAATCCATCAATATCTTCAAATTTCAGATACTGTAATATTCCAGGTTTTGTTTTTCTTTAACTATTTACCCCCTCACCACTCCCCAATCAGGTCAGCCAATTTCCCCTCTACCCTAGTTTCCCAGTTTTAAGTGAAACTCTTTGCTGAACACACCTGTAAGTCTCTATTTTTATTCATTTACTTTTTTTTTTTCTTTTCTTTCTTCATATCCCTTTATGTCCATTATTTCATATTATTATTCCTTTTCTTCCAATCTCTCCTTGAGATCTGTAGGAGTATATTCATAATTGCATATATTTATATGCATTCATATTTTAATGTACTTACTGTTTATAATTTTAATAAGCTCATTCACATTGTTTATAATTTTTTGTCTAAATATTATGTAACTTCTACAATTCTCTATCTTTTTGTATCTTATCCGTTCTAGCCCTGAAGAACACCTGCAAAGTCGGGTCAAAATGTTGGCTTTTAATAAAATAGTTTTGCCACTATTTTAGTCTATTTATGACCGCCACCCCATCTCCCACACCCCGGACCATCTCCTTCCTCTATAATACAACGGTCAACTATTAAGTATTAAATATATTTTAAATTAACTTACTTGTTGAATATATTTTTGATTATGATATTCTTCTGCTGAATCCCATGGCCCGTAAGGCTGTTGAAATATGACAAACATTCACATAAGTTATAGATTCAACTGTATTATAAATATTACAATTTAAAATTAAATAAATTTTAACAGTTAAATAACTTAGAAACAGCCGACTAAATAATGACAATCTATTATTGACTACATTATTTTATTTAAGGAATTATAAAGTGGTTAAAGCCTTAGATGTGAGAGTCATAAGAGGATCTGAGTTTGGAATGGATCATTTCTAATTGAAGTCTGAAATGTTGTTCAAACAACTGCCTATCCAAAAATACAACAGTTAAATAATCCCCAACATCAGTAAAATATAGTATAGTAAATATGCAACAAGAATCTATCAAAATTATTTTTCAGTACCAACTAAAATAAAAAATGAATCTAAAAACCACTTATGAATCAGGAGGAAAATAACACAAAATAAAGGAGCTGCACACGAAGTTCCTGCAGAAGCATTGGGGGAAAGAAATAAGAAGAAATGTCAAGGTCATGGGATGAGAAGAAAACGTTTTATTTCACAGGGCTCTCGAGGAGAGATCTGAATGAAAAAGTCAGAAAAAATGTAAAACATAAAAAGACTAGCAATAAATAATTTCTGGGAAATAAAATGCGCCCTTGTCTATCGCTTCATGCATGGCCAGAGGTCAAGAAGGCCTGAAAGGTCATGAAGTCAATAAAGAAACCCAGACCGAGGAAATTCACTAGACCTTATCACACAGGATGAACGAATAGAGTATTTCTCTGGATTGAAAGAGGAAAAATATGAATTTATCACTGACACACTTACAAATAGCACTGAAATAGAAGATTCCAACCCAGTAACTGTTGAAGAAGCAAAGAAAGAACATAACAGTATGAGTCATGGGAGATCTTCTGGTACAGGAAATATCTCTGTCGAAATGATTAAGCATGGGCTACAGGAACTTACAACTTGCTAATCTTATGACATGTATAAAAAGCGGAACCGTACCAGAAGAATGGACTGAAGGACACATAACATCTGTTTTCAAAAAGGAAAAAAAGAAGTAATGCTCTAATTACAGAGGCAGAATTAGCCGCCTTTATGAATGGGTGTGCTAGATTACTACAAGAATGCCCCACAAATATACCTGAAAAACAGGCTAGCTTTCATGCGAATACGTAAATGATTTTCATAGATCTGCAAAAAGCCTATGATATAGTTTCATTGTGCAGACTGTGGGAATACTTAAAGAACATGAGAGAAGGGAATTATCTAATAAAAGCAATCAAAAGCTTGTATAATGGTGCTAGAGTGAGGTTAAAAATCAGAAATAGTCTTATAGTCCACTTCCCAATCACTAAAGGCCTCAAACAAGAGTGTTCCCTATCTCCACTGCAGTTCAACCTATACATTGAATTGATTCTAAAAGTATGGAAGAAGAAATTCATGGGGATGGAAATACAGATAGAGGATAAATGCATTTATAATCTACGATTTGCTGACGACAGGGTAGTGATAGCGAATGATGATGAAGATTCCAGCTATATGCTAAGGAAACTCCTGGAAGAGTATAGAGCATGGAGCTGGAGGAGAATACAGAAAAAAACAAAGTATATGGCATTTAACAGGAATGTGAGAGCCTAGAAAATTGAGAACTGATGGATAACTGAGGATGGAAGCATCTTCAAGGACATCATGGAAAAATCACTAGAGGAAGGCGGATAATTGAGAAAGTACAATATTGGGGGGCCTGGTAGATGCTGTATGAACGGGAGCCATGTTCTTTTAATATAAAAAAAATGAAAAAGTTCGATGGAGGAATATTTGTGAATGACGCTACCAATTATTTGTTAATATTCTTTTATTTTCGGTTTTCCAAGCAATGTTCCTGAAGGAGCAAACTGTTTTATTGTTTTACTTAATCTAACAATTCTAACATACAGTTTGATGAAGGGCTGGTCTTGTGCAAGTGTTCCGCCTCCTCTCTCTCTTTCTCTCGATGTCGCCACTTATCCAATGTTTTGGAGCTGGTGTGTAGCCGAAGGCCTGTAATTCTCTAGTAATAGAGTAGGTGGGCGTTAAGGTTAGCCGCTGTCTGTCTTCCTTGAAGTCGGCTGAGCAAGTGGGCCGTAAGACGTGTGCTTGTGTGCTTTGTCTTCAAGCATCTGACTCTTAGACGTAGATAACGCCATCTCAGAGAGGGGGTAGGACAGGATGAGACCGGGGGACCCCCGTGTTACTTATACAAGGTAAATGATATAATTCTAAATAATAAATGTATATACAAATTCTGGATATAAATCCAACAGGGATAGTAAATTATGTGTTATGGAACAAACAGGTAAGTGAAACAATACTAATATTATTCAATACAATTCGTTTTTTGAAAGCATCACTCTATACACATCTGAATATAGGTGTTCACCAAGAAGGAGGAGACAAGGCTACTATCAGAGGAGATGGACTTTTAGAGACTCTGTTGTGCCATTTCTAGACTGTAGTATCTTCTCAACAAAAATATTAGGCGGAATGTTCAACAGGAAACAACTATGCTCTACGACGTAAAAACGAAAAGCTGGAATGGTATCGCCAATTAAAGAGAATGAAGAAGGGCCAAAATTAACTTTTCTCTATCAACCGATTGAAGGATAAAAGATAGATTGACCAAGGCAGAAATGGTTGTAGGATGTGGAGGAAAGCATAGCCAGAGGTTTTCCAGGAGAATGGCTACACCGAAAGAAATAGCAAAAAATTTGGATATGATAAACAACTAAGTTGTAAAAAAATCATAAATAAAAAGAATCAAATAAATAATTTATTTATATAATGAACTTACCAAGTGATCTAACACCAATTTTTCACGTCCATGATCCTGAAGAATTGTGTTGATGTTAATTAAATATATATATATACAATTAACAAGAATAAAAATAAAATATTGAGCCATAAAAACATAATTTTTTTAAAAATTTGTTTACATTTTTTGTAGTATTTTGAAAGTAATTTTAACTTGTAATAGCGACTTTCTTAAGTGCAGTTAAGAACTATTTTTTTTTTAATTAAATGATAATTTTAACACAAATGCATTAAAAAAATTTTTACTTTCACTTACCTACATATGTAATATACAAGCTGTTTCGTAATTGCACGGCAACATTTTAGATATGTGTTCACTAACACAAAATAAAGAAAAAAGTTCATATTAACATATATCTCAAACTCATTTATTAAACAGATATCAAAGGTAAAAGAGTTATTATTTATTTAATACATTAAGACTGAACGTACGAAGTTTAACGTGTTTAATACTAAATAACAGGTTTTAATCACCTGATAAACAAATGAAGGATAATCAATGATAGTAGCTGCTCATCTGTTTGTCTAGTTCTGTGTGTTTTAGTGTGAGAGAATACTGTGACAGTTCAATTCATGATTATCATGGGAGACACAATAAATTTATTCACTTTTGAAGAACAGTCATGCTTTTAACTTAAGGCGAGGTACATAGAAACAGTGCTGCTGCTGTTTGAAGATATCGTGAAAAATTTCCTAACCGAAGAATACCAAATCGTAAAACGTTTGCGGCCATTGAAAGACGCCTTAGGGATAATGGCATGCTAAAATCTATTTTTTACCACATGATTATGACAAGCACATAAATTTCTCCCATTGGCCAATTCGACAATGCACACGAGATCCTAACTTCCAGAACTGCATTTTGGTTACTGGTGAATCTTGCTTTACAAGAAACGGGATTCTTAATTTTCAAAATACCCATACTTGGGCTGAAGAAAATCCTCATACGACTGCTGTTGGACATTACCAACATACCTTTTCTTTAAATGTCTGGTGTGGTCTTCTAAGCAACAACAACATTGGCCCCTTCTTTTTGCCACCTAGGCTATCAGGTATATCTTACTTGCATTTTTTGCAAAATTATCTTCATGAACTCTTAGAAGATATTTCACTAGGCATTAGACAAAGGCTGTGGTTTATGCATGACAGTGCTCCAGTTGACTTTTCTAATAGTGTCACTGATTATTTAAATGCAACTTATGGAGACCGATGGGTTGGTCGAAACGGACCTGTTAAATGGCCACCACGATCTCCGGATTTAACGCCATTAGATTATTTTGTGTGGGGCTGGATGAAGTCTATGGTTTATTCTGCGGCAGTTGGCACGCAAGAAGAGCTAAGAAATCGGATCGTGGAAGCCGCAGTAACTATCAAGCACCATCCTGATGCTATACGAAGAGCCAGAGAAGCATGGATTCGTCGTGCTGAATGTTGCATTCAACAAAACGGAGGCCCCTTTGAACAGTTACTCTAAATGTTGTAATAATAATAAATAAATAGTAATAATAAATAATAAATCTTTAACCTTTGATATCTGTTTAATAAATGAGTTTGAGATATATGTTAATATGAACTTTTTTGTTTATTTTGTGTTAGTGAACACATACCTAAAATAGTGCCGTGAAATTACGAGACACCCTGTATAGTAAGTGAAAGTATTTTGATAATGAAAATTAAGTAAAATATGCAACATAAAAATTTGCCAACAGATTTAAAATAACTTGTTTGATTAAAATTTAGAGAAAAAATTTGCAAAAAAAAAATATTACAATTAATACAATTTAAAAACTAAGAAACAATGTATTTATATCATTAACTCACCAATTGCTTTGATTGCTTTGATTTTTGATCCTGAGAAATAATGTTAATGTTAATTAATTATACATAATTAGCACAATAAACACATTTAAACTATTATAAATTAATAATTGGTAATTGGTTGACTGTCGTGGATAATGAAGAGAAGAATAGTTGGGGTGCTCAGTCAAAAAGGAAGGCAAAAAATAAATTACAATATTTATGTATTTATTTTTTATTTTTTTTTTTTTTACATATGCCGACGTTTCGACCTGAAGTTCAGGCCTTCATCAGGGCTAAGAAAATAACCAGATAACAAGGTATGAGAAACATAAGTAATGATGGTAAAAAAAAAAAATAATAATAAAAAATGAGAAAAAAAAAAAAAAATATATTATTAGAAAAATAAAATAGATAGATATAAAGTAAAATGAAATTGTTAGAATAATGACTAAGAACTAAGAGATAAATAATAAAAACTGTTACATAGTGTGGTTTATAAATTAAGTTTATTATAAATTAAGTAACAGAGAGATGAGGATCCAGCTAATTAGGATATAAATTAATTTAGGTACAAAATTGATTTAAAATGGATTAAACATTTTTTAAATGGAATATTATTTTTAATAATAATGATATACAGAAGATTATAAAAGGGCACTACAAAAATTTTGCAATATGAGAGATGGAATCACGCGAGGAAGAACAAGGTTGACAAATCCTCATGCTGAATGTTGCATTCAACAAAACGGAAGATCCTTTTGAACAGTTACTCTGAATGTTGTAATAATAATAAATAAATAGTAATAATAAATAAGAAATATTTAGCTTTTGATATCTGTTTAATAAATAAGTTTGATATATACGTTAATATGAACTTTTTTGTTTATTTTGTGTTGATGAACACATACCTAAAATAGTGCCGTGAAATTATGAAACACCCTGTATAATAAGGGAAAGTATTGTGATCATGAAAATTAAGTAAAATATGCAACATAAACATTTGCCAACAGATTTAGAATAACTTGTTTGATTAAAATATAGGGAAAAAAGATTACAAGTAATACAATTTAAAAATTGAGAAACAATGTATTTATATCATGAACTCACCAATTGCTTTGATTGCTTTGATTTTTCATGTAGATGATCCTGAGAAATAATGTTAATGTTAATTAATTATGTATAATAAGCACAATAAACACATTTAAACTATTATAAATTAAGTGACAGAGAGGTGAGGATGGAGCTAATTAGGACATAAATTAATTTAGGTACAAAATTGATTTAAAATGGATTTAACATTTTTTAAATGGAATATTATTTTTTAATAATAATGATACACAGAAGATTATAAAAGGGCACTACTAAAATTTTGCAATATGAGAGATGGAATCACGTGAGGAAGAACAAGGTTGACAAATTTGTATTATTATTATTAAATTTGGTGTATTCTTAGCCTGAACAGTAACTGGCCAAATCACTGGGCTAGGCGCATTTCTTTCAGAACTGCTAGTTAAAATTGTTGGGAATGTCATCCTCGCCTAAAGTGGAACACAGAGCGATTTTATACATCAACTTTACACGTGGGTTAAGTGCGGATCAGTGTTTCACTCCAAGATAAGGTCATCTAGTTTCAACGGTGACTGAATAAAATATAAATGCTTTCAGGAATGGCTCATAAATAAAAAAAGGAAGTATCATAAAAATAAAATAATTGAAATAGAAACTAATAGAATCGAAAATAACATAAGAGACATGTACAAAGGTATAAACAGATAACGTAAATGTTTAGGGCCCGTCAAGTATGGAATTAGGAATGAAAATAACAATATTCTGACCAATCCGGTTGACATATTAAATAAGTTGAAGAACCACTTTGACAATATTTTAAATATGTGAAATTATGAGCTGTGTCCTCCTTCTGAGTACCAGAGTGCTGAACCCTTGATAGAAGAACCGAGTAAAGATAAAGTTGAAGTAGCTATCAGAAAATTAAAATCTTATAAAGCAGCTGTAGCCGATAATATTCCCACTGAACTAATTAAGACATGCGAGGAAGCTGGAGTTTCTAAAATACATCGGTTGGTTAAAAAGATCTGGGTGAATGAGTACTTACCTGAAGAATGGAAAGAATCTATTCTTATTCCGATTCACAAGAAGGGCCCGAGGATGGATTGTAATAACTATCGAGGAATTTGACTCCTTCCGGTATGTTATAAAATATTCACTTTAATCTTAACTAGTAGAATCACAGAATACGCCGAGGAAATTATCAGAGACTACCAATGCGGATTCAGACGGAATCATTCAACTATTGATCAAATATTTTCTTTACGGCAAATATTAGAGACAAAATTAGAGTACAGACGTATTGTTCAACAGCTGTATATCGATTTCAAAAAGGATTATGATTTTATTAACTGCCAGAAACTATATAATATTCTAATCAAGCAGGGGATTCCAAAAAAACTAGTAAGTCTAGTCAATATCTGATTGACCGAAACACTCAATAAAGTTAGAATCGGTAATAATCTGTCTGAAAATTTTGAGGTTCATTCGGTTTTAAAACAGGGGGATTCCCTTTCACCTGTCCTTTTCAATTTGACATTAGAACATTAGAACAACGTATTAGGAAGGTAATGCGTACAGAAAAAGGGTTGGATCTGGGTGGGACAACACCTGTGCTAGGCTATGAGGATGATCTGGTACTTTTAAGCGAAGACGTGGAAACTATAAAACTAAATACGACAACATTAATGAATGCCAGTAAAGAACTAGGGCTCGAAATAAACAATGGCGATATTACTGGTGATATCTACATAGGTAGTAATATACAAACATTTTTATTCTCTCTCTGGCGTCATTCTCCAGCTGTTGCTACCTGACCGGACCTTTTTCCTTCTTCCTCCATCATCGATTGTTTATCGATATGAGACTTTTCAATGAATAATTTGTCCACTGCATAATTGAGTACAATTCATCGTGCAACCTCACATTGCTATATATTCCTTCTCATTCCCTCACCTAATGTCACATAAAGGAGCAAATACTGGGGGATGTCTACTATGCTTGTTTAAAATTTAGGGAAAAATATGCAGCAAAAAAAAATCTGGACTTAGATTCTAAGTAATACAATTTAAAATGTATCATATCATGAACTCACCAAGTCATCTGGCTCTGATTTTTCATGTCCTTCATCCTGAGAAATAATGTTAAGGTTAATTAAGTATAATTAGCACATGAACATCCTTAAATTACTATTTTGTTTGATTAAAATTTAGGGAAAAATTTGCAAAAAAAAGGATTACAAGTAAAACAATTTAAAAATTAAGAAACAATGTATTTATATCATGAACTCACCAATTGCTTTGATTGCTTTGATTTTTCATGTATATGATCCTGAGAAATAATGTTAATGTTAATTAATTATGTATAGTTAGCACAATAAACACATTTAAACTATTATAAATTAAGTAACAGAGAGATGGGGATGGAGCTAATTAGGATGTAAATTAACTTAGGTATAAAATTGATTTAAAAGGGATTTTATAATTTTAATGGAATACTATTTTTTTAATAATGATATACAGAAGATTATAAAAGGGCACTAGGACAATTTTGTAATATGAGATATGGAATCACGTGAGGAGGTAAAAGGTTGGCACATTTGTAGACTTGTCTTGGCCTGAACAGTAACCTACTGAGTCACTGGGTAAGGGGCATTTCCTTTCTGTCTTCTAGTGAAAGTTGTCGGGGATGTCATCCTAGCCTAAAATGAATATAGAGCGATTTTATGCAACAACTTTACAAATGGGTTAAGTGGGGATCAGTGTTTTAATGATTATATAAACTGTATCATATTCGGATTGGTATTGGGAGTTTGAAAGAGGAAATTTAAACTTGAGAACACTCTAAGATCAGTTCATCTAGCTTCAATGATGAATGAATAAAATACTAATGATTTCATGGATTGCTTGAGCCAGACAGAGGAGCGACCAACCAATAGATAGAGGAGTCCTTGGACATTGATGACCAACAGTTCTTCGCATTCAGTGAGATCTTCAAGTCAGAAAGCTTTATTCTCGTTTGGTGCCCCACAGCTTAACTGAAGCTCGAATGGCGAATCGTTTCTCATCGAGCAGTGAAATGATGAAGAAGTTTAAAAATGGGAAAGCCTCCCATGTAAACAATATAGTGACAGGTGGTGAGGGTTGGTCATGGCGTATAGTAAACTATTGTGATTTCTGAACTAAGTCCCGCAGCAAAATATGGATGTTTGAAGATGATACTCCCATGACTTTCAGGAAATACATATCTGTTAACGATAATGACCTCAAACAAAAAAATCTAGTGGTGTCAGGTCTGGAGAGCGTGCAGGCCAAGTCACTGGTCCTGCACGGCCAATCCACCCAAATCTTTTTAATGATGTAGAGATGGTTGACCGTTGATATAATATGAGAAGGAGTTAATTGGGTGGTGCGGTCACTTAAATACTAAATTAAAATATAGTAATTATTTAATTTTTGCCGACGTTTTGACCCACTTTGCAGGTCGTAGGATGTAGCACTGCGGGAGGCAGTTGAAACACTGACAGTGTCTACAAGTCACACTGCCAGTGTTTCAACTGCCTCCCGCAGTGCTACATCCTACACCCTGAAGACGACCTGCAAAGTGGATCGAAAGGTCGGCAAAAATTAAATAATTACTATATTTTAATTTAGTATTTATTTGACAGCACCCCCCAATTAACTCCTTCTCAAATCTTTTTAAGTTTCTCTATATTACTTCATTCCTTGTATGTGTTAGTCAATTAAACAATTGAACGGAAATTTAAACAAATTTATTTAATTATCTGTAGGTTAATTATTGAGACCATCTTGTATTTTTTTTTTTTTTTTTTTTTTGTCAATTATCTTTAAATTTTCCATCATTTGCATTAGTCCTTGTATTTGTTTTTAATTTCTCTTTCTTCAAGATTTAGGTTAATCATAATTTACTGTTCTATTAGATTATGTATTGAGGTTGTTAGTTGATTGTAATATGGATTTTTTTTTTGGCACAATACTTTAATTGAGAAGTTTAATATAAGGTTTGAAAGGATTTTAATGTATTGATATTACAAAACAAACAAAATTGATTATTTTTGCTCATTTTAAGGTGTAAATTAGACAATTTTACATATTGTGTGGGGGTTTTCTGCACGATTTTGCACACTCCACGAGTTTTTTGCTGTAGGTTTTTCGGATTTTTACTGCACAAAGATCCGGTATCTGATAATAATCAATGACTTTTTGGGAATTTTATTAATGGGAAGCGAAAAGTAAGCAGAAACATAAAACTCCAACTCTTTATGGCACTATACTTGCATATATTCTTATAAGTAACTGAAAAACAGATATTGACAGAAAAATGGGGAAATGAAAACTGTTGTAGAAATGAGTTTTCTCCAAAGGATTGTAGGTAGAACAAGAACAGATTGCATTTACAATGATCATCAGGAAGGAGCTAGGATTTCTCTCAGAACAAGACACTGAGATGAAGATTATGGTCTGAATATTTAGTAGAAGACATCGAGGCCAGCTGGGGATGTCGTAACTACAATATGTGGACCTTTTGTACTAAAGAAGACGAAAAAAATCAGTCAAACCAGAAATCTGGCATTAAATAGACATTATTTGCAGTTCTGATTAGACTGTTACGCACTAAAGGACAACAAAAAGAAAAATAGGACATTTTTCAAATTAATAAAAAATCATATTTTAACATTTTTTGTTCCCTTACTCATTAGTATATATTCTAATGAGTAGTGATAAAAACTTTTTTCAACACAATATTACTAATGTGTAAAAATCTAGGAAAGTTAAAAATCTAAAGATAAAAATTGGAAACACATAACATTACCATTATATAACACAAAGGCATACAATCTGTATTTTGAAATATCAAAATTTACTTCTCGTTTTTCTTCTTCATCATCTGTTGGAGCAATATAGTTTATGGATATCTCGTCACTGTTTGGTAGCTGTAAAAATGGAGAAATGAATTACATATCTCCAGAATGAGTTAAATGGTACTTGACATTGTACTCAAAATTTTATGCTAATCAGACTGTGAGAAAAAAATTCATAACTATTATGGAGGTGAAAATTTCACTAACAAAATGTGGAATAAAAGTTGCTCATATACCATAAGCAAAAATAAGTATTACATAATGTACTAATCCAATATGTTGTAAATATTTGCTACAAAAAAACAATTGACAATCAAATAAAATGAAGAGTTACAAATAAATTTTTGCTATATTTAAAATAGATAAATATATTTTAGCAGGTAGTGGCAGTTGAATTCTGTTGACTTCAATCTTTAACAATGTATTGGGCATAATTATAATTTTTTTTTTTCAGAACGATATGATATTTGAATTAAGATACTTGTTTTATTTACGGATGGTTAACAGTTTACAGGGCATAATTGCGATTTTCAACTTTGTTTCGGCCAGCCAGTTCTTTTTCGACATTTTTCAAATTTATTTTTCATTTTCTATTATTTTGTTTAAGCTAAGTTTTTAATTATTATTCAAACATCAAATATGATATTTTGAAATAAATATTATATATTTGTAATTTTAATTTTTTTTTTTTCATATGTTCAAGGAAGAGTGTGTCATGGGGTAAGATTATATTCTGAGGTTTTTTTTTTTTTTTATCTTTCACTTGTAAATAGTTATATGAAATGGATAAATATGAACTATAGAAGAATATTATAATTAACCAAAGGAGAAAATGTGAGAAATATTTCCGCAGGTTGAAAATAAATTTCCTAAATAAGAGCAGAGATATAGATGTATAATATACCATTGGAAAGCTAAATATTTTATTAAAACATGGTCGTAGATGGTGATGGAAAGAGTAAAAATCTAATGAGACTGTAAAAATCTAATAATTGCTGTAGTTCATAATGTCTAATTATTTGTGATTGAAATGGAAATAAACATTTTTATATAAACTATAAGGAATTTTCAAAGAAAATATAAGAACAACTAAATTCTTTTCTACTAATTACTAGCAATGAACTTTTCCCAAACAAATTATCAAAAGGAAAAATATCAATGGTCCTTATTTCACATGTAGATTACTTAGAGAACAAGGTGCGTATGAATTTTAATTATATATCAAATTGAAGATTTTATTTAATTTCAGTTTTTTAACTATATTATAAGTTATTTTATTTAATTTCTTCCTTTTTTTCTATAATAATATAACACATTTTATTTTCCTTTTAAACTGGTGATTTATTTTTATGCAACCTACTTAAATCTTAAGAGTTTGGAATTCCAAAGAACAGTTATTGAAGTATTTAAACAAATACTTAGTCAATTTAGACAAATTTATATTCCTTAAATTGTACATTAAAGTAATTTTTTTTATTTTTTTTTTATTCCTTAAAGACAATTACAACTGTATTAAATAGATACATCTAGTAAATTAGAACATAATGTATATAATGACATGAAAAACACTTGCTGAGTAACTACCCAATGGTAGCATTAAAGTAATTAAAATTGATATATTAATAACATAGGAATGACCAATACTGAAATTTCTTGAAATTTTTGTAAGAGAATAATTTAAACAATAATTAGAAAATATAAGAGAATAATTTAAACAATAATTAGAAAATATAAATGAATATAAGGATTATATATTAATTAGAATTCAAGTCAAAGGAGATGAAAAAAAAATGTTTAAGGAGGTCAAGTTGTTTGTAGATTAGTAACTAATTTCTTAATATCTTGCCTGAATTATCAGAAAATCAAATGTTTACACATATTTTGTGGATAAGTTAAAAAAATCTGGTGCGCGTAACACACAACTTTCACTTACTGATCTACTATGAATAGAAATTATTTTCTGGCAATGCTGAGCTGTTATAAATTTTTTTGAACTTCATTTTAAATGGAGCTAAAGCTTAAAGCTTACAGATAACAAGTCATTAAGACCATTATAATTACAAAATGTCTATTTAATATATCGACGACAGGCAATAAAAATCTAGTCACTCCATCTGCTTTTATAAACTACACAACTTTCTTTGTGAGGACATATCTTTCCTCCTAGTTGTCCGATCTTAACGATTTTTTTTTTTTAGGAAATTCCATAAACTCTTAAAAAACCATATAAAATATCCCCCAATAGAGGATCCCCCAAAAAGTGTATACTTTTTGAGTTAATCGGAATTTAATTTTACCATCCCTCGTAACTTTTTTTCCAGCTTCTTTTCATTGAAGTATGTTATATAGATAAATTTAAAGGGTGTCAAGAAAATGACTTTAGCGAAGTTTCATTGAAATCGGTACATTCATTTAGGCGCTATTGTCTATAGCAACGCAGGTTTTTTTGCATTTTTATTTTTTTTCTCCTTTATTAACTTATCCAATTCTTTCAAAAGTTATATTTAGCATTTTTTCGTAACTTTGAATAATGTGAAATGATTAACTTTTTAAAATAAACTATATAAAAGGTACTTTAGAGGAAGACGTGTATGAACATTGGGCATTTAAGCCCCGTAAAGTGACATCAATGGGGATAAGACCTAATTGATACTAAAGACTACTTAATTATACAATGATATACCGAGTTTAATCAAAATCGTTAGAGCCGTTTTTGAGAAAATTGTGAAAATGTGTTTCAGCGTTAATATAAAGTGGCACTTCCGGTTAGCCAATTCTAAGGAAAAAGTTGCCGTCACATCTAAGGCATATACCTATCTTAAATACGTAATATCAGTTTCGTAAGACTTTTCGCTTTTGAGCTAGACTGCTAACATACAAACACAGACACACAGACAATTTTTCGGGACTTGGTCATTTCGACTCAGGGTACCTCAAAACGTCTATTTCCGTTGAAAACTCAGATTCAAAAATCTTCTCGATCGCAATACTTACCCTTACTATATATTACATATATACGTAAGTGAAAGTAAAAAAACTACTGTCATATTTTTTCTAAAATAATTTAATGGAATTTTTGTTCAAGTTTACATTAAAAAGGATAGAAAATTAGTAGTTTTAAGAATGTGAGATGTGGTTTCTGATTTCCCTCTTAACTAAGGTGACTAAGGAGAGGAGAGAGGATGGTCCAAATTAGTTGTTACAATAATTAATTTTAAATAATGATAATCTGGAGCAAATATATTCAGCTGAAATAATATTGATAATTTAGTTCTAAAGATGTATTTTTGAAAGCGAACAATTTGATGATGTATTTGACATCTGACATGTATCTGACATGAGTTAACCGGAGAGTTCAGACGGTTACACAACGCCGAATTGAGTGAGCTGTATCCGGGTAATATAATTGAGGTAATTTCATCGCGGCGAATCAAATGGGCTTGTAAAGTTGTTTTGCTTAGTAACGAGAGAATTCCTAAAAGGTTAATATTTGCTGTGCCGAATGGTAAGAGTCCGAGGGGTAGACCGAAGCGAAGGTGGGAAGATTGCATGAAAGCCGATCTGAAGGGACTGGGTTTGGACGGCGAACGGTGGAGGGAGGTGTGTAACAAGCGATTGGTGGTGTTGGCATCGAACCTTCGGGTTCGCTAAGCCTTATTATTATTATTATTATTATTATTATCATTTGATTTAAAAAAAAAACAATTTTATACCTCTTCTTCTGAAAGTTCATCTTTTTCCTTGTTGATATCCTGTAAAAAATAAAATGATTATAAGTATCACCTTTGTTCTCTACATTTTTTCCCTCAAGTCCTTCAGAACATAGTATTTTATTACATAATAAAAGGAAAAATATATAGAAATATTAATTTTATAGTATTCATTAAGAATGAATTTGGAAGCAGTAATAATTACCTTAATTTCAAGTGTTACTATACCAAAATTTTATCTCTTATTATAAATTCTATTGTATGTATTTTATGATTTATAAAAATAACTATTTTATACCTCTTCTTTTGAAGAAACCTTTGCATGTTCCTCTTTGTTCTTGGAGATATTCTGAAAAAAAATAAATAAAATGAAAATAAATATCACTTTTATCCTCCACATTCTTTTCATAAGTAGTTCAGAAACATATTAGGAGCTTTTTTAAAAATATTTTTATTCATTTCTTTATTTACATCTCTACTATGCCTGATACGCAATACAGGTTTTAACAGCAGTGAGCTGTTCTGCATGCCTGCGTAGCAATACACTGCTGCAAGAAAAACAATATTACAGTTTTCATGAGCTGGGCACACACCTTGATCGTATATCTGTAGGTTTAGTCATGATATACTTCTGCTTCTCCTCTGTCTAGCAGCCTTCCAGGTTTTGCACCTCCTCTTCTTCCCAAGAAAAAATGAGTAATTATTTTCTATCTAGAAAGAAAATCTTTGAAGTACGGATAGTTTTACACACTTATTAGCTGAGGGAAATTGCTCTCTATCAAAACATAGAGACTGGTTTCCCTCAGCAGTTTGGCTCTTAGTGCCTCAAAGGCAGTACAGGCTGCGACAATATGCTTGGTGGTCTCTGGTACTGGGCCACAAGGAGTCAATTTTCTTTCCAAGTTGAAAGAGTTTTGCTTGGAAGCCTCTATGTCCAGTGACTAGTTATGATGATGATCAAGGTTCTAAACATTTGGCTGCTAACCAGGAACCGATGGTGGGAAAATATTTCTTCAGAGTACTTCCTTTTGGAGATGTTACTCATCGCCGGTTCTATTCGTCAAAGGACTCTCGTACATATCATTTTATATCTGTCTAATTGTTGATTAATCTTCACACGGAGATTCACTGGTAGACCTACCAAGCCTTCTCTTAACAACTGATACTTGAACGTGTCTACCTATGACAGGAGGTCAAGAGGTACTGTAAGCCGTGGTAACTGGCAATAGAGCCATCCACTGAATCGACGCCAACCTGCTCTTTTGGGGATGCGAGAGATTCAGATTCGAGCCACAGAAGCCTACCTCAGAATATCCAGAACTACATCTTTATAAATGGTTGTAGTCTCTGGAGATCGACGCCCCATAAGGCACCACCGATACCATTAAGGCTAGGGTCATCCTACTTCTCAGATAGTCCAAGTGAGGTGTCGTGTTGAAATTTCTTCCAATTCTGATACCAGAGTAGGAGACAATCTCACTTGGATGTATTCTTGCTCCTTGAATACCATATTAATACCATATCCTGCCACTCAAGAGGATGACCTGTATTTTAGCAGCTGCCATTGTCATTTTCTTTCTCTTGCACCATCTTCCTATTAGGTTGGAGCACTGCTCCACCTCTTCTTTCAACCCGCTCTGCTGTTGTAGGTCACTACAGCAACTAAATCTTTCCACAAAAGCTGTGGTGAGTAACCGCTCTTCTTTGGACACTACCAGCAACTCGTTGAAGACTAGTTGCACATAGCAGGGCCAAGGACAGAATCCTGCAGACAGCCTCTCTCCATTATATCATCTACATCGTAGAAGTTACCATTTATTTATAACATTCTGTCCTGAAGATAACTTCTCATCATCAAAGTGTACAACTTGTTGGGAGTCTCATACCTCTGCAACTGCTGTCCAGTAATTGGTCCCTGGTAATTTCCCATTACTTTCTCCCATGTTTCGGCAGCATATGAATTCCACAATGGAAAAACGACTTACCTTTTAAGGCTATCCAATAATCTATACATTTCTTGGCATCTTCATATGAATGGAAGTGTTGCCCATCCAGGCCATGTGCTATTGACGATAATAATTGATGAAAGGAAGGGGTTATACCCAGTGAATACAGCAGGTAAGACAGACTTTTCTATTTAAGCATTTCCCAGTTTTTTTTTCACTGATTTTTCAACATGAGGTCAAGCATTTTCAAGTAATAAAATCACTTTGTTGTGTCTCTGCACATATAGTGACCATTTTTCCTTTCTCACTCAGCTCTAATGCATCGATTGTAGTTGGAAGCATTCTCCAATGATAGTTTCGTTCAGTTTGAATAGCTCATATTAAATTATACCATGCTGATCACACCAAATGCATAGGAGAAGCTTGACAAGAGGTCGGGGTTACCCAATGGTACTTCTAGCTTAGGATTATCATAGTGACAAATAAGGATTGAAAAATAACTGATTATTCAAATGTCTCTATAATAAGAGAAAAAAAAATACATATAAAAGTCAGGAATAGCGGAAAAAATTATATTTATTATTTGTTAATTAAATAAAAAATATTCGAAAAACAATGTAGGTATTATTTATTCATGTTAAAGTTAAAATTAACTGCAAACAAAATTATTTATACTGTTTTTAATTTCACGTTATCTTTATATTTTGTATTATTTTTACTAAATCTGCTAAGTTTCCATCTTCTCGCATACCTCATAGTTACGTTTTTTATGACTAGCCTAAACTGTGACACAAATTATTAAAATAGATGCCGATTATGTGGTTATTTATTATTGTATTGTACAGGATTTGTTCTTTTATATGACTATGTATGATTAAGATAATTATATATTATTAATCATGGGTGATAAATATTCAGGAGGCAGTCTTTTTTAAAATTTTTTTTATTTTTGCCAATGTTTAAACCCAAACATGTGGGTCATCTCCAGGGCTGAAAATGTTTTTTTTACAAATTACAATCAGAGATATAATAGTATACGACCACTAATTATAAATAATAAACTATAGCGATTGATGGCACATGAATCTTAACTAATATTGTAATACACATAATGATAATTCTCATAGTGTATCCATTTTCCATCTCAAGTCACGATAGGATGCAAAAAAAAAAGTTTTCTTTTCTGCAAGTGAATCATTCCTATTGCTTTCAAACGCTTCGAAACTATAGTCGTCTACTAGTAATTATTTTCCAGGTTCAGCTAGCATTTGACATGGGTTTTCATTAAGTAATTTATACAATTCTTTGGCTTCAAATTCTTTATCCCTAAGATTAAAATAATTATTTTTAAATGCCGAAACCAGTTTCTACATGTCCTTTCCTGACCAAGCTCGTCCTAAATCTCAACAAGAATTTTGTGTTCTTCAGCTGCAGATTTCTTTTGTATAAAAGAGTGCAATAAAGTTACCTGTAAATACTCTTTACTTGGTACAAAACTTGATAGTTTTTAAATTATGAAACAATGTCGTTAACACTGTGGCGTCAGTAGATAGTATAAAACAGAGATAATAAATATTAAATATTTATTATTCAATGTTTAGCCCGGCAGCAATTGAGCGCAGGGCAGGCGCAGTGGACGTGCAACATATGTCCAACAGAGGATCATTTCTGAGCCGTTCCAGCTCAGTATGTGCCTATTCCTGATTAAAGCTAACAAGTTATTTAAATAAGCATTTATTTAGACCTTCAAATAAATACTTTTATTAAAATGTTTAACTTCACTAAATAAAAGTATATGAATAAAGTTAATTGTATTTCTTATTTAACAAATACTTTTATTTGGATAAAAATGCTAAGTAATAATAATATTACTTTATTTTCCTACTATAAAATCAACTAAGTATTATTAATAAAAAAAATATCTATTTCATTTAAAATTCCTTCTATATTTCGGTTGTTGTGTGATATTTGAGGACAGTCTATCGCCTATCGATTTGTAAATCATTAATTTCAACTTTACAGATATCTGTTCGATTTAGGGGCCTGATATTACGTTATTGGAGGCGTACTTCTTGAAAACTCTATCGATTTTTAGAATTAAACTGATATGTATTTATTATTGATTAGTTTCAACTTTTTAGAATACAATGAACTAGGGAACTGTTATTATGTTATCAGAGGCTTAGCTTTTGAAATTATAATCGATTTTATCATTATTCCTTTCCTTATCTACTGTGTTACTTATTTAGCATAAATTATTTTAAGTCGGCATGTTGTATATGTGATTTATTATTAATTATTTTATATATCTCAACCATTTTATTTCCAACAACCTATAAATTAGATTTTGTTTTATTTCTACTTTTAAAATGTTATTAGTAATTGTTGCATTAATACTTGTTTTTTTTTTTTTTTCATTTTCATGGTGATACAAAATGGATGTTGAAAATATCATAAATTTTAATTTTTAACATTTTCATTTAATTCAATATTAATAATATATAATTATCTTAATCATACATAGTCATATAAGAGAACAAATCCTGTACATTACAATAATAAATAACCACATAATCGGCATCTATTTTAATAATTTGTGTCACAGTTTAGGCTAGTCATAAAAAACGTAACTATTAGGTATGCGAGAAGATGGAGACTTAGCAGATTTAGTAAAAATAATACAAAACATAAAGATAACGTGAAATTAAAAATAGTATAAATAATTTTGTTTGCAGTTAATTTTAACTTTAACATGAATAAATAATACCTACATCGTTTTTCGAATATTTTTAATTTAATTAACAAATAACAAATATAATTTTTTCCGCTATTCCAGACTTTTATATGTATTTTTTTTTCTCTTATTATAGAGACATTTGAATAATCAGTTATTTTTCAATCCTTATTTGTTATTTTATCGATGACAAATTATAATAAACTCCATAAGACAAGAAGTATAATTTGTTCAATTCTATCAGTCCCTGAAGAAATTTCACTTCTTCGTACCGTCCATCATCATACAAATTTCTGTATTTTTCATCTTGTTAATTTTTTGAACTTCTATCTGTTACTATAAATTTTATTTTATGTATCCTATGATTTATAAAAATAACAATTTCATACCTCTTCTTTGGAAGGAACCTTCGGAGGTTTTTTTTTGGTCCCGGAGACGTTCTATAAAAAAAAAAAAAAAAAATGATCGTAAATGTCTATATCATACTCCAAATATATTTACTCAAATACTTCAGAAAAAGAGTATTTTATTACATAATAGAAGGAAAAATAGATAGGAAACGTTAATAATATAATATGTAGTACGTATGAACTGGGAAAAATTTATAACTACCTGACTTTGATTTGTTGATTTCTTTTTATTTTTAAATTCCTCACTCTGAAAAAAAAAAAGGAATCCATTACAATGATTTCATTTTAATTCATTAATTACTAATTATTATTTTTAAACTAATCATTTTAGTGAATAAGGTACTGTGCTGCTATCTGTAATGAGCAGGACAGCTCAAATGTCTCCTATCTCCTGAGCCTAAGTTCAAGTCTGACTGTGGTAGATAATTATTTATTCTGTTAGATTAGTAATGGAATATACAAAGGAATGTAATGAATTGATTATACACAGTTGGTAACAAAAACAAAGACCAAGCTAGACGTTGAATTGTTCTCTTTGAAAACAATCTACTTGAAAAGACTCAAAATCAAGTTATATAAGGAAATAATAAATGGAAATAGAAAATTGAGATATTGTAAAATCGATCAAAATATTCTGACTACATATAAGAGAATAAAAAGTTAAAATAAAGTAAAAAAGATAAATGAGCATCAATATATTGTAATATAAACCTTAATTGGAAGTTGTTAAAAATTATTTAATAAATTAATGTAACAGTTAAAAATCCAGCTAATCTAGTTCTGCTAGTTCAGGAAAAAGAAAATAGCAGCTCTTTAGTTTTCCCAAAAAGAAAAATCCAAAGAGGGGATGGGACAAAGGATTTTGTTTTGGCAAGTTGTTGGTTTTTGGCTGGGGTGAAGAGAGGATAGGAGAAGTTATCCTGGCTCCAGTGGGTAAAACCCAGTAATAGTATTACCATTTCGGAAGTGTTTGTTTGGCAGGGAGACTAGTTGTTTGGAATTACAAGAGAGACGATTTCACAGTGAGCTTGAGTTGAGTAGAAGAAAGTATTATTATTTTGGAAGTTGTGTTTTGGCAGAACATTGGAAAGCATTTGAAGACAAATGAATCTAGTGCAACAAAGGAAGAAACAGTATTGATAGAAAAAAGGTTAGCTTGCCAATCCATACTTGACTTTATTTTAAAATCAGTGTTAACTATAGTTAATTTTAGTTTGTCAGAGTGTTTTGATCTGATTATCAGTTAACCATGAGATAAAATAATTATAAAGTTTAGTTTAATAAATTAATGCTCTTATAATTTTGTTCATTATTTAATAACCTCTTATTTATTTTGAAACTAACCCAATAACATTAAGTGAGCTTCCGAGGTTATAGTATTATTTGTAAAATATAAGAGAGATGTTACAATATGCAAAGTAGAGATGGAGATATGGAAAATAGAATGACAGAAAAGAGGAAAAAAAGGAGAAAACTAAGATAAGAAAGATAAACAGATCTGGTCATTCGAAGAAGCATGGAAAGACATAGGTATTGTAGCAGGAGAGAGTGAAGCTACATAGCTTAGTCTTATGTGGTACTATTCTAAACTTTTACCCGTTACTCTAAACTTTATTTTATGTATCTTCTGATTTGTAAAAATAACAATTTTATACCTCTTCTTTGGAAGGGACCTTTGGAGATTTTTTTTTGTTCTTGGAGACTTTCTATAAAAAATAAATAAAATTATCATAAATATCTCTATAATACTCCAAAAATATTTACCCAAATACTTCAGAAAAAGAGTATTTCATTACATAATAGAAGGGAAAATAGTTAGGAAACGTTAATAATATAATATGTAGTACGTATGAACTGGGAAAAATTTATAACTACCTTACTTTGATTCTGTGATTTCTTTTTATTTTGAAATTCCTCACTCTGAAAAAAAAGAATCCATTAGAACCATTTTATTTTAATTCATGAACTAATAATTTTAGTGAAGAAGGTACTGTGCTGCTATCTGTAATGAGCAGGACAGATCAAATGTCTCTTATCTCCTGAGCCTATGTTCAAGTCTGACAGTGTTAGATAATTATTTATTCTGTTATATTAGTAATGAAATATACAAAGGAACATAATGACTCGATTATACACAGTTGGTGACAAAAACAAAGACCAAGCAAGACTTTGAATTGTTGTCTTTGAAAACAATCTACTTGAAAAGACTCAGAATCAAGTTATATAAGGAAATAATAGATATAAATAGATAATTGAGATATTTTAAAATCGATCAAAATATACTGACTACGTATAAGAGAATAAAAAGTTAAAATACTATAAAAAAGATCAATGACCAGATGTATCAATATATACAAAGTAGATATGGAAATATGCAAAAAAAAAAAGTGATGGGAAAGAGGAAAAAAGGAGAAAACTAAGATAAGAAAGATAAACAGATCTGGTCAATCGAAGAAGCATGGTAAGACAAACGTATTATAGCAAGAAAGAGTACAGCTACATAGCGCCATCTGTAATGATTAACTGAAATACGTGAACTAAAGCACAGAAACATATATAAATTGGATGAGAGATTAACTACAGATAAATTCTATCAGTTATTAAATAAATGTGTAATTGAAAGAGGATGGAAATAAGATATAATTGGGCAGTTAGCAATGATTTAAAGTTAAATATTGAGAAGATCAAAGCCATTCTCATTGGTTCCAAGCATCTAATTAATTCCACACCTTATCCCCTGTTCTTCCTCAATGGACTACCTGTCCATTTCCACATTTCCGTTAGAAACCTTGGGGTAATGTTTTATAAGAATCTGTCCTGGAACAATCATATTTCCCAAATAATCCGAAAATCCATTGATACCCTCAAACAGTTCTTAAGATTCCGTGATTCCATGTCCCTTAACATACGTCAGCTCCAAGTTTCCTCACTAATTTTTCCTCATTTCGATGATGGCTGCCTTCTATACGGTGGACTGTCGGGTGGGCTTGAGATCAGACTAAAGAGACTAATGAATTGTTTCATTAGATTCATTGATGGTGTCCCCAGGCGCCCCCATGTCTCCAGTTACTATGCTGAGTTGAAGTGGCTCTATCCAGTCTTCTAACGGCAATACTTCCTAGGTGTATTCCTTTTTTGAACCTTTTCAACCAAAAAACCCTCTTACATTCTCGATTTATTTACTCCTTGTTCCTCTGTCCATTCGTTCAACATGAGATCCCAGCCCTCAAATCTGCTTATTCCTTCTCATAGAACTGTTTCCTTAAAAAAATCATTTGTCATGAGTGCTACCTTGTTTTGGAATTCCCTAACAACCTCCATACGCAAATCATAATCCTTGACCTCATTTAAACATAATTTATCTACCCATCGTCTCAGTAATCAATCTTCCGAATATGTGTAAAATAATGTTCACGTTTTTCAGATCTGTTAATCGCTTTAATGTTATCTGACGGAAAATTATATATCACCCACATTGTTCATGTGTAAAAATATGTGAACTCGCATATCTAAATTTATCTATGATTTCATATATCTAACAGTGCCTTTTCTTTATTGTAACCTTAGATCTAGACAATCTTGTAATCTAATTTATTTTCAATGCCAGACAATTATCGTTAGATTGTACATTGCAGTTATTCTAAGGGGTCTTAGTCCCAGAATAAAATTTATTTTTCTTTCTTCTTAAGATATCTGGAGATAGTATAAAACAGATAATAAATATCTATTATTCAATGTTTATTTTCTCAAACCTATTTTTATAATTTTTTTTTTTTTTTTGTCCTGATGAAGACCTGAACTACGTGCCGAAAGGTAGGCAAATATAAAAATAAATATAATTATTTATTTTTAATATTTTTTATTTTGACTGATCACCTCAACCATCCTTCTCTTCAAAAAATAAATTATAATGGAAGAAATTATAACTACCTCAGTCTTATGTGGTACTATAAACTTTTATCTGTTACTATAAATTTTAATTTATGTATCCTCTGATCTGTAAAAATAACAATTTTATACCTCTTCTATGGAAGGAACCTTTGGATTTTTTTTTCTATCCTTGGAGAGATTCTACAAAAAAAAAAAAATGATGATAAATATCTCTATTAAACTCCAAATATATTTACTCGAATGCTTCAGAAAAAGAGTATTTTATTACATAATAAAAGGGAAAATAGGATATGTTAATAATATAATATGTGAGTATGAACTGGAAAAAATTTATAATTACCTTACTTTGATTCAGTAACTGTTTTTTATTTTCAAATTCCTCACTCTGAAAAAAAGGAATCCATTAGAATCATTTTATTTTAGTTCATTAATTACTAATCATTATTTTTAAACTAATAATTTTAGTGAAGAAGGTACTGTGCTGCTATCTGTAATGAGCAGGACAGCTCAAATGTCTCTCATTTCCTGAGCCTACATTCAAATCGGACTGTATTAGATAATTATTTATTCCGTTTGATTAATAATGGAATATACAAAGGAACATAATGACTTGATTACAAACAGTTGGTAACAAAAACAAAGACCAAGCAAGACTTTGAATTGTTCTCTTTGAAAACAATCTACTTGAAAAGACTCAAAATATACAATATTAAATAAAAGAATACATAAATTATACAACAATGGAGGAATGCCAGACAAAGAACGCACTTTAAAATTGTTTATCACATATACAATACATCAAAAAGGTAATATATTCTCCCAACTTTTATGCCACCCATCTTATTACATACATATTAGGATTAACAGTTATCATTGCACATTTAAATTTATATACAAACCTGTATGCTCCTGCAACATATGATCTATTACTGTGGTTGGGAATTTGTTATATAAATAAATTAATAAAATTGATCACTCAAAAACACAGAACCTACCCTGTGAAACCTCACCATTTCATGTATAAGTATTACATAGGTTTTAAAAAATCGGCAAAGACCTAATCAAACTCATGGATGAAATAAAAATTTTGCTCCAAAACTCACTCTGATTCTAAAATTTTAAAAGTTAACTTATTTTCATTTAACTTTATATTCAATTATATTAGATAGTGTTGTTTTATAATAAGTAATAAATCTATATTAACTATTAATTTTATTTATATGATTGGTACTGGTACTGTTGGTCACAGGTGAATCTACAGGGGGGGAGGGGAGAGCAGGAGGGTTTTTGAGCTGAAGTCTCTCCCCAAAATGGTAAAACATAACCATGTTTTATGAAAAAAATTATCTCTAAAAGTATTATTGTTTGTCTTATTGCATTTAATAGATCTTAAAAAATCACTTAAACACCACTTCATATAGGTACTTAGTTTCTTTCTTAGTTCCGAAGTAATTATCGTCACTAGCTGATCCAGGATTTAATTTTGGAGAGGCTTCAGCCCGAAAGCTTTTTTTTTTTTTTTCATAAAGATGATGATAATTAATTTGGAAAAAAAGAAATAAACTAACTATTTATATGAAATGGTATTTAAGTGATTCCTTAAGTCCTTTTAAATGTAATTACACGAACAATAATACTTTAAGAGATAATTTTTTAATATATTTTCCCATAAAACATGAATAGATTTTAACATTTTTTTGGGGGGGGGGGGCTTTCAGACCGAAATCCCTTCCCCTTCCCCGTAAATCCGCCCGTGATTATCGTACTTTATGAATACAAAAAAAATCATTCTAGTTGAAGCCCCACTCCCACAAAAAAAATTATGTCCTGAATCCGTAAGTGCTGGTGGTGGAAAGTAGTTTGGCAAGTTGGTCTTGTGTTCCTTTTCACCAAGTTTTTACGCCTACCGACTTTGATAGACAATCCACTGTTTGTAAATGATATATTATCCAGGTGAGGATGTATAAATAAGATTGAATTCCTCTGTTACATACAAATTTTCAGAGACTAACATATTTTATTTTACAAATAGAAAGCGTGTGGGACCATGACACTTCTTATTCCCAGAATAATTTCTCTCTTATTATGGTGACATATTGGTGATAATTACTTTAATTATATAAATTGACAACAAGGCACGATTTATAATATGAAATTTTTAAAGAAATAAAAAATTTGTCGAACGAAGAGTGATTTCGTTCGATTTATTTTATATTGATAACAAATAATACAATCTACAGAATACATGTAAATTACAGTTATACAAGTATTACAATTAAATGAGCAGTTGTATAATTTGTAAAACAGAGGTTGGTCCGCCATTGAGAGGACATATGGTTTGCTCCTTGTAATAAACAAAGTTTTAAAGTCTTCTCTGTCTGTGGGTCCTGAATTTAAATCTTATTAATAATAATCATAATTATGTCTACTTACTGTTACGATTTGACACATGCCACCGGGAAGACTTGGATGAATTACCATACCAGGCAGTAACTATATGACAAATATTATTCATTAGAGAAATTATAACAAAAATAAAATCAAGTTAATCAATCAATCAATTTATTAATTACAATCAAAACTAACCTTTCCATCTCCATCAATTACGTTTATGCGCATTGTCTTATCAGGCTCACTGTCTGATGTTGATCGTGGCATTTCAGCCAATGGCTGGAAAAATAATTATGATTTTAGTTGATATATTAAATAAATCCGTTTACAATTTCTTGGGGGGAATATTATTGAGAAGTCTGTTCCAACAGGGATCACTTCTTCGAATTATCGGGCAGAGCAAGAAGCTATCTATGAGGCATCGAAACTTGCAGGAATACTAAAAAGATTGTGTTTCTTACTAATTCAGCGTCATAATTATAATCACTCAGGTCGAAATGGAGCAAAAGCCTGATAAAACTTGTTGATCTTGAAGAATTGATGTCCCTTCACAAGAAAGTTGTCCTGCAATGGATCCCTGAACACTGTGGTATCTATGGAAACGAAAGGGCAGACCAGCTGGCAAAGGAGGGAACCTTGAGTCCGCAATTGATTATAAGATCAGCCTAAACGAGGTAAAAACAATCAATAAAGCGATTATTAACCAACGATGGCTCAGAAATCATCCACTTCACAACCCCAGAGATGCCGTCTATGGACTAACTCGACGAGATCAGTGGAAAGGAAACTATATAGGAAGCCTGGAGGACCTGAGGAAGACTACCGAATTCTGCATTTTAATTCCTAATGTAGTCATATAAGGAAGAACGCAGAAGAAGAAGAAGAAAAAAATGCCCCATGACGTATTATTCTCTTATAGCTTACAGTAATGTCATGTATCCAAGTATAAATAAATAAGTTATAGGAAGTGAGAATGATATATAAGTAATCCATTTCCTTAGGATGGAAGATCCATGACTAAGTTTGGTCGATTGCTAATCTGGTGCACAAATGTTCGAACTTCAAGATTATAATGAGGAACGTGTTTGTACCATCAGGTAAGATGTAGATGAACAAGTAATTATGTGTTTTCTCATAATCTGAAACAAAACATTCTCAACCGTGCACAGCTTGCAATCGACTCAAGAAGAGGAGAGTTGCGACAATCTAGAGGACGACCCTGCTGCAAGTAACAAAACTCTTCAGGACTGTTGCTCATGAAGCTGTGCAAGTTTTAGCAGGAAGGGTACCTCTCGGACTCCTTCTGCAAGAAGATAATACTAAATATTTTTGGTACTTCTTGTGATTTTATATTTAAAATGGATATATTGACGAGGAGGTGAGGCAGAGAATAGGAGCTGCTGGAAGAATGTTCGGCTCGATTAAGGAAGGCTTTCTGAACCGAAAAGAGGTGACCAAGGAAACGAAGATGACGGTCTACAGATCAGTATTCCTTCCTATACTGACGTATTCTTCCGGGTCCTGGATCCTTACTTCGAAACACAGGAGCCAGATCCAGCCCCTAGAGATACGATACCTGCGAAAAGTGGAGGAAAAGACTAGACGAGACAGAATTCGCAATACTACAATCCTTGCCAATCTCGACGCCAAAGCGGTCGAAACCATTATAGAAGAACACAAGTTGAGATGGTTTGGGCACCTTCTCCGCATGGATCGGAACAGAGTCGCACGGAAGACATATGAGACTCGCGTGCAGGGTAGGAGACCAAGAGGAAGACCCAGAATCTCCTGGGAAGAAAGCCTGCGAGATGCATTCCAGAAGCGAGTTTGGAATGGAACAGGAGACAAGAGCTGGTACTGGAAAGGTCCACCTGGTCCAAGCTCTACAAGAAGCAACCTAACACTGCATAGCGGTAAAGAGGAATATGACTATGATGATGATGATATAATAACGCTTTGGAAATTGGCGTCTTCGGAAGAACAAGTTGTGAAATACTTTAAGAAGTTCCGAAAAAATCCAAAGATGAAATTGTGTGAAGGTCATCAAATTGAGTTTGACTGGAAGATCAAATCAAAACATATAATATTTACGTTTAGACGAGACACATGCTCATCTGTTTATATCGGCGACAAACCAAATCCCTCAGACGGACACTATACGTTATCTCGGGTTAATATTCGACATAAGGATGACCTGGGGCCCACATGTTAAAATAAAGGGAAGGACTTTGAACAAGCGACTGAAAATACTATACTCAATTTTTCCCAAATCAAAATTGAAAATCAGACAAAAACTAAACACATACACTTACCTACTTAAACCTAAATGGACATACACCTCAGAAAATTACGGCAAAAAAGACACACTTACAAAAAGTACAATCATTTCACTCCAAAATTTTAAGAGTAATAACATCAGCACCGTGGCACATAAACAACAAAATTTCCGTACCGACTTACGACAACCAACTATCGACCAACACATAGGTACTCTCTACACCCGATTTATTACTCTAAAATAAAAGCGATTTCAGAAACGTACACATACATATTAATATTTAATATAATTTGCGTGTAAAAGATGATTTTTATTTTAAGATCAAAATTTGTGTGATTTAATCATTATTATGTATGTAAAATCGTATCACTCAGTGATTAATCATTATTTTGAATCGAATCAATAAACATCAAAGATCGATTTAAGTTTTATTTATAAATCAGGCATGCTTTTTAAATTAAAAATAAAATTTAATAATTATTACATGATTTGGGATTTCAAACAATGGTATTTTTCTTGTATCGTTTACATATTTTGGATTTGCCATGTGTTGTAATCTTCTTCTGATGATCTGATGAAAGAAGAACGCGAAAAGAAGAACAGTAGACAACCAATATAACAAAGTTGTATCACGATGTAATAAATCCAGCAGGTATTGGCTGGAGGAGGAAAGCTGTTTCAAAAATAGGTTAGCAAGGGGAGGGGTGGTGTTTACTTACTTGGATTTAATGCAGATATATACATAATTTTTTCGTGCTTTGCAATTTTCCAATTTGGGGATTTTTCTTATTTATACATCATTTTACTTCCTTCAAAACCAAAAAAATATAATATTACAATATTTTTTTATTCGTATTTTATATAAAATAAAATGACGAAGAAGCATGTACAAAGCTTCGAAAAAAGATGTAAATACATATGAATCCAATTTCTAGAAATAGCTTAAAAAATATATTTATATATTTACCTTCATTTTAGAGTTAATGTAACCTTCCTTGCCTGATCTATGTTGTACGCGAGGCTAAAAAATAATAAAAAGTTCATTTGACGAAATAAATCTAGAAACAGAACAATATCTTAATTTAATTACTATATTTTTATTAAAACATTTATGTTATTACGATGTTATTTTATCTAATGAAAATAAAGTTTTATTTTCATACCATGTTCGTCTTCATAGGATACTAATATTTTTTTAAAAAAAAGGATGTTAATTATAATTCTAGATGTTCACTGAAGTGAATAAATAAAAATATATTTGTATGTATTTTCAAATAAATAAATACAGTATGATTGATTTAACACAGTTTAATTCAGCTTATAAATCTGACGAATGTGTTTAAGACAACATGAATTTATTTATGAATTTAGCCCTGCCAGAAGCGGATGCAAATTATTGAAAGGTGCGCGAATAATTTGAAAGTTAAGGAATTAGTTCTAATTTCGTAATTCAGAATGTTGAAACAATATCAACAATTCTGGTGTTGTTGATTAATTTTTTCGAAACGTTGTTTTTATTTAGAGACCGGATGTCCATATCAAATAGCATTATTGATTTTCTTCTGTTTAACATCTCAATTTCATGATCTGTAGAACAACATATTGAAATTTAATTCTGCACGACTTTAAAGTGTTTTTTTTTTCGTTTAAATCGCACAATTTTAATTTTTGTTGCTTTAAATTTCACTTGCATTTTTAGGGCTGAATTTTTAATTTAATTGCACAAAATTTAATTCTTGAACCAAATTTCATTTATTATGTATCGCTACGTATGTAAATGTGTAATATTTTTACATTTTATTTTTATTGTAAATTAACGAGAAAAAAAATCAGGTCCTCTCTCTGCTATGAAAAGTTATTTTAAATCCGTTTTCATTAATAAATAAATAAATGCTTACTCGACATTATTCCAGTTTGAACAGATGAGGTAAAGTATATTACGATATTTTATTTTCCTGGGACAGGAAACGTTTAAAAGGGGAATAAAGAAAGAAAAAATGATTTATTATAAGTATTACCACATTGAACACATAAAAACCTTTTCGATCACCAGGATGTCATATATTTGTTGGTAAATCTAAAAACATAATAATCTAAGCAATTTAAAATACAACGGTATATTAATTTCAAATAAATAGCTTTAACAAGCTAAGTTGAAAAAAACTGGTGCGGTGCGAGCGTCACAAAAATTTCACTTACCACCCTCCTAGCACAAACGAGTATTTTCAGACCAAGGAGAAACGAAAGTAAAAATTATAAACGCTATATTGATTTATATTTCATTGTTCATTGTGGATATTTCTATTTGTTTAAGTACCCTTATATATACAAATTTTAATTGTTATATAACTGTTTTCAATACAATACAACAATACAATAAAATATTAAATAATAACAACGAAACCATTTAGGAAAACCGCATGTGTATATGTACATAATATTGTCGGAGTCCGTATTTTATTAAGCACATGTTACTATGAAAGCCTGTTCCAATATTCAGGTGAGCTCAGGTATTGAAACTCTGGTATCCCTTTGGTTCCTTTATTATGGATATTCTCTGTTCTGATCTCTTATTTATCCTTTAGTTAAAGATCAAATTCATTCATATTTCATATATAACTATTGTTTATATTAGAGATCAACGTAAAATGGTTAATTGTTTCAAATAAAAAAAAATAAAGGTACTTTAAAAGAAGCTAATATTGAAAATTAGCCATTTAAGCCTTGCTAAAGAAAATTTATGAGAATAAAACCTACATAATATTAAAAACTGCCCAAGTTTACACTGATATAATGAATCTCATCAAAATCATTGGAGCCGTTTTCGAGAAAATAGTAAAAATGTGTTTCATTGATGATATAAAGTGCCACTTCCGGTAAGCCGATTTTTACGAAAAAGTTGCTGTAAAAACTTCATATTTAGCAATTTTTTATAGTACTGTCAGTAAAAGAGACTTTTTTTTTTTTTTTTAAATAAACCGTATTAAAGAGGAAGACGTATATGAACATTGGACATTTAAGTCCTCTAAAGTGACATCAATGGGGCTAAGACCTAAATGATATCAAAGAACACTTAATTATACAATGATACACTGAGTTTAATCAAAATCGTTAGAGCCATTTTTGAGAAAATTGTAAAAATGTGTTTTACCGTTGATATAAAGTGGCACTTCTGCTTAGCCGATTTTAAGGAAAAAGTTGCTGTAACATCTGAGGCATATACAAATCTTAAATATGCAATTTCGTTTTTTCGAGCTAGACTGCTAACACACATACAGACCATTTAGTGGGACTTAGTTATTTGGATTCAGGAGACCTCAAAACATGTATTTCCGTTGAAAACTCAGATTGCAAAATTTTCACGATCGCAATACTTACTCTTACTATATATTTCATATTTAGGTAAGTGAAAGTAATAACTTACCAATACTTCTAAATATAAATTAAATCAATATATATTACAATATGATAAATTTAATTTTAGATTCTCCATAATATATTGAAATTTTACAAAATAAAGAAAATTACAACCTCTTTCATTTGAACATGATTGCTTGGATCCAAATAGTCTTTCAGGTCATTTCTGTACAATCTTTGCTAAAAAACAATTATACAATTTTATCAATAGTTCAATAAACACGTGCAATTTTATTGTAAAAATCGATAACATAATACGAAATAATAATCGATTCTTACCAACACATGTGGGGCTTGGGGTATCCTATTAACGTCAATCCGTTTCTGATTATTTATCTGAAATATGTTTTAAATTAATAAATTTCCGCAATGTGATTTTGTATAATATATATATATTTTTTTTCCTTTATTTTTTTAGTTAAACATTGATAGTTTTGTTTTATTTCTTATTTGTATTATATATAGTGCTAGACATATTGTATATATTTTCATCACCCTATTACTTTTTTTGTATATTTATTAATTTACATGAGATATTTTATTTATTAAATGTAGTTCTCAATTTCTCTGCTCTGTAAAGTTTTGTTATTCTTAAGTAACTTATCCTAGAATAATGTTATTTCTCTATCCATCTATCTATCTATCTCTATATATATACCTAATATTATATAAAACATAATAAAATAATATTTACCATTTTTTTATAATTATTGTGTTCATCGAAATTTAAAAAGTAAGGTGAATCTTTCATACCATCACGATCCTTCAAGCATAAATAAATTTCTATTGAAGTTTATAATTTATTTCTTCTTATTATGATTAATAGCAATTAAAATTTTACCTGATCGTAGGAAATCCTGCGTTTCCTATTCGGTCCAGGAAATCCAGCCCATTCTTTGTAATCTGCTAACTGTTTTGTTAGAATCATAGGTTTAATGGGCATTCATTTACGATAGTAAATAAAGGCGATGGAATTAATCGGATAATGTAACAAGTTTCATGTTTGTTTGAGTGGGGTGGGTTGATGTGTTATTTGGGGGTGGGTGGGGTGGGTTGAGGTGGTAGGGGGGTTTTAGGTTTTGGGTGGTTGTGTTGTGTGTTTTTGATGGTTATGTGTTGTGGGTATGATGTGATATATTTGTGTAGGTTGAATGTTTGTGGTGTTTAGGGTTTGTTTGGGTTGTGTGTGTTTGTGGAATGTGTTTTTTTGGTTTTATATATGAAATAGTGTTTATTAGTTTTGAATGTATTGTGGGTTGTTTTTTGTATTGAATAGTTGGTGTATGGTGTTTTAGGGTGTTGTTTGTTGTGGGGGTTTGTTGGTGTGTAGAGGTGTTTTTGTATTATTTGAGGGTGGTGGGGGTTAGTTGTGGAAAATAGTTTGGGTTTTATGTAGGAATGAGTTTGTTTATGGTATGGATGAAAAGTTGTGTAGGTAAGGTTTAGAATATTATAGGGTATTATGTTGAGTTATTTATAGTATAATATTTTAAGGTTTGTGATATGTAGGTGTTGATGTATTTAGTGGGGTGGAAGAGGGGGGGGGATTGGTTATATATAGATGTTTTATTTTGATGTATAAGATAGGAGGATTGAATGGTGGTTAGAAGGGGTTGTGGAAGGTGTATATGGAGAGGGGTTTAGTGGGAGTTGATATAATTGGTATATTTGTATGGTTATGTAATTTTGTTTTTGAAGTAATTGTATAATTATGGGATAGATGGTAGAAGATGATGTGAATTTGTAAAATAGGTGTAATGTGAGAGTAGATTAAGAAAGGTTTACATGGTGAGCCTCAAAGACGACTAAAAAGGCAGTGACCTAGAGATCTGCTGAAAAGTTAAGAAAATATCAGGAATTCAATAAGATATAATTAACGCCAACAAATTTGCTTGATGCTTTCCACCGCAGTGGCAAATTTAAAATAACAAAAAAAAATTGTATTGAATGATAATACAATCACAATAAGTATTAGTACTACAATAGTTCCATCATACAATATATAAAAAAACAAAATAAAAACAAAAAGCAGGAAGCAAATATAAATAATCTTATACCCATTCATATCTATATATACAATATCTACATTCGCGCAGGAACCCCAAGCCAAGGTTTGTCCTCCACATGTGGAAAACAAAACAAGACTCAAAAGTTCCAAGTGCTTCTCTTCCAGCCGCGTCACTGGTATTAGAAGCCAGTGGAGACTGAAAGAGGGCACTGGAGCCACAGACGCTCAGGATTTGAGTGGAGAAGCCGGCCATTGCCAAGACTCCAAAAGAATATTTACAAAAGATCTCAGGGCCACTGTCGCTTTAATCTTCGAGGATAATTATAGGGGCGTTCGTAGCTGGTGAGCTAGAGGGTTAGGATGATCAATAAGATTCTGGTGGAAGTTTGTAAATCTGGATAGGATAACGTCAAGGACACATGGGATGTTAAGGTCATGGTGTCAGGTCTTGTTTGTAACATAATAATAATAACTAGTAGGCCCGTGCGAAAAATTCGCTCAACATATTGCTATCAAATGCCAAATTAATAATAAAATAAAATAATGCAATGTATCAAAAGGTAAAGACATCAAATGTTACTTTATCGATAAATATAATCGACAAAGGAAACATAAATTAATTTAAATCTTCATTTTTGTTTGGAACCGACATGTTTACAAATTTCAGTAAGCTGTATCTTTGCTAAAAATGGTCCGATTTCAATGATTTTTTTTCCTTTTGTAGGGAATGTAATAATCTTTGATATAATGATCGATGTAACCAAGGGAAAAGTGTGTAATTTTTTAGTTATTCGCAAATAAAGTTCGTTTTCTTTCATAACTTGTTTGCCTGAATTTTCTGGGTGATTGGACTATTTTGCCCGCCTGAAGGAGAAGGAAGCCTTCGAAATAGGTGGCTCAATCTTGAGATTTGGTGAAAAATTAACGATGATATGGCTTGCCGATCAAAAACACCATCGATAAATAATATAAACTCCTCCTCTCTCGATCATAGAGACCTCAAGTCGACGAAATGAGACGTGTATTCAATGACAGTACTACAATTAATGTAAGGTTGTGTGTATGCGAACCTTATGCTTTGCGTTATCTCGAAAATAGTACGTTTTGGGGCTTAAAAACGCAGGATCCGATAGTTCCGCAGGAACTATCCGGATCTTGCTGTACGCATCAAAATCATCAAGGTCCAATTTGTCCTGCATCGATCTACAGACCTACCACCGTTCCATTATTGAAGCCAAGCAAAATCTTTGTATCGACTTTATTTATTTTAGAAAGAAAATCAAAAGTGGAGAATACGAGTCGCTAACCCCCCTTGAAATTCTGAATTCAATGGTACCCCATTCATGGTATTTGAGCATGAAAAGAGCTTATATTTGGTACAAAACCGATTTCGAGCCTTACTGTAATAATAGATGTGGGGATACGGAGCATTGACTATTGTTCTGAGTACTTTGGATCGGATACGTTTGGTTTGAAACTTTAGCTGTCCCCCACAGTTCAAGTCTATAGGGCCAGATAGATTTCAGTACGGTCTTGTAGAGTAATAAATAGTTTTCAATTGTAAGATGAGATGTTCTGTTTAATAATCTGTACAACTGGCCGAATCGTCGGTTTCGTTCTTGTCTTTTGTCTAAAAGGAAGCCAAGGTACAGGACAATATCTGAGATGGGAAGTGGAATAGAGTTAAATAAATAGGATTGGCGGACAGAATCTGCGTCGGAGGGTGAAGGTGACTGCACCACTGCTCAACCAATGAGAAGTGTTTTTTTTTTAGTTTGAGGGATGCTATTTCGAGGTCTCAGGGGGAGGACAGGATGACGATATCATCAGGCAATGTTGCTAGGAAGGTTTCGGGATCTGTCGGGATATCTGCAGTGAGAAGAATGTAGAGCATAGGACCCAAGACACTGCCTTGTGAAACACCAGCTTCAACTGGGTAACAACCAGAAAATTTTGAGCCACAGCGTACTCGGAAGGAACGATTGGAGATGTAGGATTACCGACACATCTGAACCCCGCCAGATCAGCCAACCTTAACGCAATCCAAATCTTCGGACGCATACCAATCTGTACATATTAACCTTTTAGAAGTACTCTTTAACAAAATTGTATGCACCATAATTGATAATGTTTGAGTTTGCTTTTGACCAATGTAACGACCCTTCAGAAGAACAAATAATCTATTTACTTGTATTCCTGGTTTCAACCCAACTGTTCTTGGGAGACTACATTTTTTTAAAAAAATTATTGCATTAGATAAAAATACAACTAGTAAATTTGAATTAGTAATAAGACATGTACAACTAGAAGAGAAACTACCTATTGGTATAATAGTCCGTGGTACAGACCCTTGTTATCGAATTATCAACCTCCACCTGAAACTTTGTAATTGGTTTTGTCTGATCGTAACCTACAACTATTTTATTTACGAAAACTCGAAATTGGGGCATTTTCATTCTGGAGGGGGGAAAACTTTGTCTATTTAATTAGGTACTAAAAACTCGTAAATACTCATTTGCTTTCTACTTGAATCGTAAGATAATTTGATCACAAAATCGAGAAAAAAAAGTGCCCTGCAAAAATATTGGGAGTGTAGGTCACGCCAAACGGCTCAATAATTTTGAAGGCCCCTTTTTTTTTATTGATTTTGTGATCAAATTATCTTACGATCTAATTAGAAAGTAAATAAGTACGAGTTTTTAGTATCTAATTAAATAGATAAAGTTTGCCCCCCTCCAGATTGAAAACGCTCCAGTTCCAAGAGTTTTGGTAAATAAAATAGTTGTAGGTTACGACGAGATGAAACGGCATTTCAGGCGGATGTTAATAAGTCGATAAAAGGGTTCTGTACCACAGTCAATGTTCTCAGACAATTCAGAAGAAATTCCACTAACAAAAAGATATTAATAATAAAAACATCATTAAACTAGCAAATTACGTACCCTTTCCTCTCTTTTAATCCTGGAATGTAAGTTATCTCCTCTCTTGGTCAATTTTTCCTTCAAATATTCAATTTGATCTTTTAAATGAACGTTATTAACTTCCAGTTCAGTGATTTTCTCATTTTGATGGTAGAAGACTGAAGTAAGATCAGAAATAGCTAGCGAATACGTCTTTTTTATTTCAGTGTCTTCGTGAGAACAGTTTTCCGAGATTGAGGTCAAGGAATCAATTGCAACATGGAAGACAGCTTCATTACTACTCATTAAAGTTTCTGGAATCTTCAATTTGCAAAGAAAAAAATTAACTTTTTTTTAGAATACTTGTTTACATAAGGAATCGATTGAGGGGGTTAAAGCCAGATTGAAGTTATTCGATTTACCTTCATTTTGAGAAAAACAAAAAAATATTTTACCAGAATTATTGTGATTCAATTTTGTGCAAAAATCAGGATTTTGCACAACCACACAATTTAGTATTGTTTTGAAGTTTAATCCACTCGTTGCTAAGTGGGTTATTCAAGGCAATCTAGCGGTACAAAAGTCAAAATATCCGCAGTTTTACAGAAAATGACATTAACTAAACATGTAATTAATAGTCATTGTAGTTAGGAAAACAAGAATAATTGGAAAAAAAATGAAATGAGAAAGAAATACGATTAAATATAATAATATGCAATGAGAACTAGGAAGCAATCTTTGAAAATTAAGTATATTGCTTTCATTTTAAGAGTGAACAGCTAATAAATCTCATATCTTTGAGATTATTTTTTCAAAATTATAAGATTGAATCGTAAAGAAAATACTTTTTAAAATGTTTGTGAGTTCTCATTATTCAAAATTAAACCTTCCTTTTCGACAAACTTTTCTCTGTCCGACAGGGATCAGAAATTTCCACAATTCGACCAGTGTCGGCAGGAGTAACTCAAGGATAAATATTGGATCATTTTCTCTACATTATCTATTCGAATGACATGTCTACTAACTCCGAAACATTTACTACTAATTAGGCTTACGATACAAAAAGTTTTACAAAATCTCATGGGAAAATTAGATTAAATCATGACAAATCACAAATTATAACATTTACACTTAGATGAGACACATACCTACTAGTTTATATCTACGACAACCAAATTCCCAGAAAGATACTTTACATTACCTTTGACAAGTGGATGACCTGGGACCGACACGTCAAAATGAAAAGAAAAAATTTAAACAAGTAAGAGAAAATACTAGACTCGTATTTTTCCAAATCAAAATTGAAATCCAAATCAGACAAAAATTAAATATAATTACATACTCAAACGCATATTAGTCCAGTCAATGAATGATTATAGAAAGAAATGCCAGGAACACAGTTTTTACTTTGGGACATTGTTTGAACTAATAAGGAGAAGGTAAATATATTAGAAGTCCCTACTATAGTGAGCCAGATGTGGGAGGAGGAGTACCTGGAAAGTCACTTTTTTCGGACTTTCGCTTATATCAGGAAAATTATCCGTCTCATCGACAAAAACGTTCTATACAAAATTAAAGCTGATAAAATTTTCAATGATTGATTATTTACGTTTTTCCGCTACCTTACTTAGTTCCCGAGATATCCTTCCTCAACTATGGCTAATTTTGCAAAGAAAAATATTTGCCTCATGTTTATTGCTGTATTTGACTAGCTAACTCTTGATTTCTTCGTTCTACGATTAAGTCATAAGAAAGAAAATCTTTAACAATTAAATTTTCTTCAAGAATATATATTATTTTACTAGTATATCTTCTGTTCTGCAAATCCGCCAATTGAAATGTTTTGGCCATGTGATTAGGATGGAGGAACATAGGGACCCATTGAATACGATGGACTACGCTCTCGATGGCAAAAGAACTCGAGGACTCCTAAGAATGTCATATAAGGAGTACATCGATAGACTCTGCAAAGGAGGGGGCGGGGTGGCCGAATAGGCTAAAGCGTGTGTAACAGCACCGCTAGTTGCCTGGCAACCGGATAACAGAGATTTGAGATGATATAAAAAGTACGAGCTCGCGTCCCGGTGCCGGAGGGGATTTTAAATTTCCCGCCCTCACCCTCCGGCCCGGGAAAATCCCGTATAGCCTAAAAGGCGAGGTAGGGAAGAACAAAAAAAAAAAAAAGGTCTTCTTCAGGGATGTGCGTTCAGCTAAGAGTTTCACTTAGAAGAACTGATGAAGGAAATTTTTTAATGGGGGGGCGGGGTGGCCGAATAGGCTAGAGCGTGTGCACAGCACCGCTAGTTGCCTGGCAACCGGATAACAGAAATTTGAGATGATATAAAAAGTACGAGTTCGCGTCCCAGTGCCGGAGGGGATTTTAAATTCCCCGCCCTCACCCCCCGGCCCGGGAAAATCCCGTATAGCCTAAAAGGCGAGGTAGGGAAGACCAAAAAAAAAAAAAAAAAAAAAAAAAAGACTGCAAAGGAAGAGGCAAAGATCCCCTCCGAGCCAGGAATCTGACAAAGAACAGAGAAGTGTGGAGTTCGTGGCTGCTCACCTTCTTACGCTGAGAGACAGGAAAGGGAGAAGCTAAAGAAGAAGAAAATTTAATTATTAAAAAAATTATTCCTTTATGATTCAATCGTAGAACGAAGAAATCAAGAGTTACCTAGTCAAATACAGTAAAAAATATGAGATAAAAATGTATTTGTATAGATTGTTGTCGATGCAATGGATAGTTTTCCTGATATAAGCAGAATAGAGCAATAAACAAGAGGCAACATTTTTTTTTTTTTTTTTTCAAAATTAGTCATAGTTGAGGATGGATATATCAGAAGCTAAGTGAGGTAGCGAAAAACGGTAAATAATCAATCATATTGAAAATTTTATCAGCTTTAATTTTGTATAGAATGTCTTTGTCGATGCGACGGATAGTTTTCCCCCGAAAAAAGTGATCTTCTAGCCTCGTCTCCTCCCCTCCCCCCACAACTAGCTCACTACCTAGGAGTGTAGTCTTTTAGTATATTTAACACCTTACTTGTGGAAACAATTTCCCAGTCAAAAAATTTGTCCCCGCCATTTGCTTCTATGTCCTTGGACTTACGCCTTACTGATTTTCGGTTCAGAAAAAAAGACGCACTTACAATCTTTCCAATCTAAAGTTTAAAGATTTGGTCAGGGCTGGCATGCTCATCTGAAAGCGACTGAAAATGAGTTGGATGAGAGATCTACTTTCCTGAATTAAGGAAGCAAATAACGACTACAAACTACTGCTGCTGGGTAATATTCCTCCTCATGTCTATAATATGTTACCAAATTCACCACAGCACATTTGCTCCTTGCTGTCAAATCCATGACAGATGCTGACTTGGCCTGTTTTGTTGGAAGCAACTATTAGTTTTTGTTGTTTATGATAAACTATAATTCATTTATACAACAGTCAATATTTCTTTCTTATTTTACATAAACAAAGAAACCTAGTGATAATCTGGGCAAAGCAGAGGCAGAAATAAATAGCATTCATTTTGATTCAAATTATTTTAAAAAAATATTCTCGGCTCCTAGGACTTATTGGAAGGAATGCTGGGATATGTGTAAATATTATTCTAGTATCACCGAAAAAGGATTGGTTGAATTCAGTAACCCACTGATTGTAAGCTCTCCATGTAATCACAAATGTTTTTTAATTAAAAAAACAAATGAAATTGTTTTTGTAGACTTTTGTTCCGCTAGATTGTAGAGATAGCCCATAGAGCGCTGGTGGGAAATAATGTCTGAAAGATGAGTACTGTATATTTTTTCCTACTTGAGTGAAGACTGATTGGTTAACAGTGTCTATCTGCTAAGAGCGCAACAGATTTGCCTTAAGGAAATTAGGTAAAAATGATTTCTAAGTCGCTTTATTAACCGGCAAATTCCATTTATGTAAAACATACTCTGACTTTCATACAAATGTTCCTTATAAAGCATGTTTTCCATACATTTATCTCCAACTGTTGTTTCTAAATAGTCCTTAAATTATGTTAAATTTATATAACATTATTAGTTATAATTAATATATTTGTTATATACATTATGACTTATATAGTTTAATATAAATTATTAGCAACAATATATTCCTATTTCCTCCTAACTCCTTAATTGTGTAGCCTATTCAATATAATTCTAGATTTCTTTTATACATCTTAAAATAAATCACTATTTGGACGGTCAATAAATTCATATTTTTGATAGATAAAAAAATTAAAATGTCAACAAATCAGCAAACAACTGAGGTCATGAATTGATTCATTTTTCCATTAGATAATTTATTCCTGCTAGATTGCATTTCTAAACTTCAATGCAGGATTTCGAAAATGTGACTTTAACCCCCTCAATTAAAATAAAAATATTATATAACTATTTAAAAAAATAATAAAATATATATAAAACAAACACTGTATGATTAAGGAATTTTCTAAATTCTCTACTCTTTTACCATTTTTTTTTTTTTTTTTTTTTTTTCTCCCTCCTCTTTCAATCATAATGAAAAGTTTGTGCCTGTGTTGACAAGAACCTTAGGGTGTGTAGTGGGAGACCTTCTACTACAACACTAAGTTTACATATCCATATACTCGTAACTCAATTTCAGTAACAATCAACATAAGTGTTTACTAGAATATCCAAATACATTTCCTACAAATATGGATTTATTTATGTCAGATTTTTTTTTTGTTCATGTTATTCATTTTTCCTATAAATATGAGATAAATGTGTCATACATTGCTCGACAACTTATTGCCTTTAAGAATGGAAGAATGTATTATTTCTTAATAAAATCCGATTTAAAAAAAACAAAAAAAACATGATTAATTATAATTTATTTTTATTCTAATAATATTGTTGTCCCCTTATCCAGTTAGCTTTCTATTATTTATTATAAATAAATCATGTTCAATTATGAATGATTGGAATAAATCAAGAGTTTTTAATATTTAAGTGCACATTTTGAAATACGTTGGCTATATCGTGATCAGGAAAAATTCTATGAGTATAGTGTGGATGTGTAAATTATATTTATTGACTTGATAATTAATAAATTACTTACCAGTGTGAGTTGGCATATGAATATGGCAGCAATTGTTACTTTATGGAAATACATTTCTGTGAAACATTTAAAATCTGAAAAGAGCAATGAAAAAATTGATAGTAATTGATGTATTTTATATATCCTATTTGTAGTTTTTTTCTTACAGAGACGGGTGTTATAATTAAAAAAAATATTTTAAACAAAAGTTAATTTTGAGGATCAATGAAGTAATTCTATACTCAGACAGAAGAGCAACACCTTTCCGTGTTTTAGTTTTTCTTTGCTGTAAAGTTGTTTCAATTCCTCTTAAAGCATTTGATGTTTTTATTTTTCTTCTTTGTAAATATTTTTCTAATTATTTCAATGTTGGGAACTCCTATTTCAATTATTCCATTTTTCCAATTTTTTTAGAATATCTAATTATTATTACTACCATATGTATATTTTTGTAAGAAGTTGTTTCACAAGTAAATAATATTGACATCATATATTTATTTTTTTATATTATAGTTTATCTTTAAAAATGTTATTCGTTACTAAACAATTAAGTATTTATTTTAATTTTTTTCTTTGATGAGCTTGGCCTTCAAGAATATCCAAAAAGTTCATTAGGGCAGAGCAATTAAGGTGTGTTCAGAGGTGACAACCTGGATGGAAAACATGTGTTGCCCCGTGTCTAGGGAACACAGCCAAGTTCCTATTTTATTTTATTTAAATTGAAGCGAGCAGTACTGCTGGCAAACAAGAGAAGCAGCCTCGAGATAAGCAGAGGGTCTGCACAAGCATTTTGTCTGTAGCATTCATTTCAACTTAAGAGAGGAGACGCAGCTGGCCTGGAGGCGAATTAAAATCTGTCCCATTTTCATAAGAAGAAAATAGAGTCGCAAACTCTAGTGGTCCAGCAAGGGGACCCGAAAACTTGAAAGGAGAAGAAAGACCATGAATAAAGAAGAAAGTACAAGTAATTAATTTTTAGTCACCAATCCACCTCGACTTTAATAGGTTATTATATGCATATTAAAATTTATTAACACATTAACCCACATTGTAATAGATTTGATCTCAATAACTCATTATAATAGATATCAAAATATAGCAATTAGTTTAATCCCATATTTTACTTACAGACATTAAATCCTTTAGTCAAACCCTCCATAGCAATAAAATAAGAACCAGTTAATATAGCAGAATTATTATGTCAATATCTCAGACAGTGATAGAAGGTAATGTCATAGTAAGTAAAACATTTGGTTCTCTGGGCTCCGATTTCATTAAAACCTGTAATTAGTAAAGCATACAAGGCCTTAAATGAAAAAACCATTATCACTTTTTACATGATTTTAGCACTATAAATTAAAAAAATGGTCCTATAATCTGCATAATAAAATATACGAAAATCTTTATAATTTTTATTAGAACCATTATAATTTAATAATAAGTTAAACATAAAGTCCTCCACGTTTAGGATATCATTAACATTTTTAATGAATAAATCATGTATGGTCCTTCAGATGGATAGTAAAACTTCATAATTTTTTACAATATTCAGCACTTTTTTTATTTTTTTATTATATGGGCCATATAATAAAGTCATCTATAACATTTTTTGTTTTAGTTTTTAAAATATAACCAATTGTTAAATCACAGCAAAATAACCTAAAACAATTTTAGTTTAAATTATAATTTAATGTTATTCAGATAATAGGTAGTATATTATAGTATGTCCCAGAATAAAATTATTTTTAATTTCATATATTAGCACTCATATTTAAAATAAATGTTTCCATTTTAATGTGGCTAAATTTTCACAATTACATTCCTATATTATAAATCACAGGAAATTTAGCAATTAATTAATTTAAAGCTGTGCATTGTCCTATATTGTCTGTTATTGCTATATGATATGTCTTGATAAGTTAATAATTATCATTTTGTTTAGTATTAGTGCAAGATTTAGTTTCAATATTGATCTAAATTATCATTAGCATTCTTTAAAATAATTAACAATCATTACCTTAATTGAGGTATATTAATTTACCAGATATTTATTAAATAGAATTTTTATGTTTCATGCATTTATTGATTAATCTATTAATTTATATCACTAGTAAGTATATTATCTGCAAGAAATGCTTTAGATTAATTATTATAAGCACTCATTGTCATTAATCTGCAATTAAATAGTCAGCATAATTATTCTAGTGATGTATCATTTTATGTCTATGCTAAATTAGCATTTGGAGCCAATCATTCACCAATGGCTCGTTAACTGAACAAAGAGGTAGCAGTTTATTCATTTCTCTTTGTTATAGTAGCAACCTTTTGAAAAGAACACGCAATCTTTTGATATTCATTTGTTTATATGTATATATTTTACAACTTAGCACCTTTATCAGATTAAAAGCAATTAATTTGATTATATATATGTGCTTTTTAATTGGACACCTCATTTTTCATTCATTCGATTCTTTATTGATTTTAATATATTTTACTTCCTCACTACCGAAGATAGGGAAACATTGTATTCGTGCGAGACGTTAAAGAAAAAATTGTGCTCAGAATCGAAAATATCCACTCGCGTTTTACTTTTCAGACGTCAAGGATCAAATTTGGTTCGGTATCTGTCTGTCTTTAGTCATATCGATGTGACGGTCATATCACCTAATACCGTTCATCCAATTTTCATGAAATTTTCAGGGATTGTGCGGATTAGTGTCTAGATGGTACCATATCAATTTCAGCATTTTACCCTTCATTTTGTAGCCTTTCTTTTTTTGCGTTGCGCAAGTTACACCATCAAAGTTTTTGAGGAAGCACATTTATTATGGATTTTTTAAGGCAGTACATATTTACAAACAATGTAGGCAAGAAAAAAAAAGTGAAGGAAATAAAAATTAAATGAAAATTGCAGTTAGGAAGCGATTATGGCGGACTTCGGCCAGAGTCATATTGATTTTAAGGTTGAGGAAATAGATTAAATTAAATTGGATAGTTTCTTAATGATTTTATTTTTATTTTTTTAAATTCTTTATAATCATGATTTTAAATTTTAATTTTCTTAAATTAACTTTTCATCATAAAATTATGTTGATTATTAAGACTATGAAAGCATTTATTTGTGATGAATACATGATTTTATGTCCGAACTTATGCTCAATGAATTTTGTCCTCCTAGATTGGCTATCTGCTCCAATGTGCGTCGGAGATTTGATTTATAATTGTTGAATTTAAGGATCGAAATTTGAATTCGTTACTTCTCCAGAAAGTTTTCTTTGTTTTTTCAAAATTAATCGCTCGATTTGTCAAAAAAGGGATTTATACAACCATATAAAAAAAAATCTGGTGAGGGCAACACACAACTTTCACTTACCGATAAACTTTGAATAGAAATTATTTTTGGCCATATTGGCCTATTATAAAATTTTTGAATTCCATTTTTAACTGAGCTGAAGCTAAAAAATTACAGCTAACAAATTATAAATACCATTAAAATAATCAAAATCCTATTTATTATATCACCAGTTGATCATTTATTGCACGATCAATTGATTATGGATTGTAATAAAATTATTAAACTACAGTAAATATATTTAAGGTTATAAACTTATGCATGAAATGATTTTATATTTTACTTCTTCTTTCACACAAGTACAATGAAATAGTTATTTAAACAATATCATTGCCTTTATTAGCAGAATCTTAAATATTTCTTTCAAACTTAAAAATAATTTAAAAGGTTGCATTTAGTTAATAAATTTCATTTAATTTCTTTGAAAACATGTGATTTACGTTAAATATTATTATTTTTCAAAAAATATTATTTGTAATCTCCGTTTCCTTTTACAACTTTCTATATTCGATAGTGTTTTTTATAAAATTCTCCGCTTTCCAACGATATATTATACGTATCTTTGGACTAGTATTTCCAGAGATTCATTTTCGACCTGCATCAGCATTTTTATTTTTTTCTCCTTTATTCAATTATCAAATTCTTTGAAAAGTTATATTTAGCATTTTTTTTTTATAACTTTTAATAATAAGAGATAATTGATTATTTAAAATAAACCATATTAAAGGTACTTTAGAGGAAGATGCATATGAACATAGGGCATTTAAGCCCTGTAAAGTGACAACAACGGAGATAAGACCTAAATGATATTAAAGATCACTTAATTATACAATGATACACTGAGTTTAATTAAAATCGTTAGAGCCATTTTTGAGAAAATTTTAAAAATGAGTTTCAGCGTTCATATAAAGTGGCACTTCCGGTTAGCCGATTTTAACGAAAAAGTTGCTGTCATATCCGGCTCATATACAAACCTTAAATACTTAATATCAGTTTCGTACTACTTTTCGTTTATGAGCTAGAGTGTTAACACACCATTTAGCGACACTTGGTTATTTGGACTCGGGGAACCTCAAAACACGTATTTCCGTTGAAAACTGAGATTCGAAAATTTTCACGATCGCAATACTTACACTTACTATATATTTCATATATACGTAACTGAAAGAAATATATTGAAAATATGATGAAGCGTGATTAAAGACAATTACTAAGGCAGTTCCATTAAATGATAGATTAATGCAAACTATTACTTACGAGTGGCTAGCTGCAAATGTGACTATAATAAAGAACTTATCAAATCGATTATCAGCCAATATTTATTTTTATGTATATTAGAATCAGTCAAGCATTTCATTGGATAAATGCAACAGCTATTGTCTTGAATTGATAATCCTTGACGGAGAAACAGCCAGCTAACGGTAACTAAAGTTATAGTTTCTATGTTAACTCCATAGGGAAATCTTTAATTTCTTAATTTTTTATCCAAATTGATATATTCATATATATTGATATATTCTGCTAAGTGTTTGTGATTCTATATGTATTTTTTTCTGAGAAAGTTTTAATTATTTAATATCAGCACTACACTTAGCTTGTTTCAATTAAGAAGTAAATTTACCAAGTAAATTTACCAAGTTGGTATGAATTGAAGCATTAGCGAATCCGCCGATTAGGAAAAAATACCGCTCCCTCTCCCAAAAGTGAAATAATTTATTTTTCATTTGACCATAATAGCTTCTATGAGTAATGTTAGTCAAATACGTAAGCTTAATTTAAGTATTTAACCCACATGACTCATATGAAAGAAATACAGACCAATGAAAAAATATTGGTCCATAAAAAATTTATTGGTCCACCTTCACCGTGAATCCACCAGTGGCACACAGTGGGCTGATTCAGGTAATCTAGCGGTACAAAATCAGAAATATCGATAGTGAATATTTTTGAAGAAAATTACATAAAACGTTACTATATATACTTTATACTTCGACGCAGTTAGGAAAAGGAAAATCAGTCGAAATATAAACAAACAATCTGTGAAAACATTATGATCATTGAAAGTATAGCACCATTTATCCAGTCGTAGGTAATGCAACGAACTCTTAACTTCGGTTTGTAAATATTGTAATTATTTTGTTACCTCATTTAATTTGTTTTCAAATATGAATACTATTTCCAAAGATATGTACTTTAAAATATTAATGTCAATGGAATGAAAGTTTCGCTATTTTTCAAATAAAAAAAAAACGCTGCAAATTATTTCACAATGGTTTATTATTTCCAAACAATTATACATCTAAAGTGACATTACCTTCCGAGTTACAAAGAAAAAAAAACAAAAGGTGATTCCAATTATTGGACTAAACTGTTTTTCTTTAATCATTAGTAATATGCTAAAAAAAAAAAAAAAATAGCATTAGTTCAGTAACACATTTAAAATTTAAAAACCAAACCAAGGATATAACATGTGGAGTAGAACACATAAAAAAAAAAACCGGAGACCATATCTTTGCTACTAATTGTCCGATTTTAACGATTTTTTTTTTGTTTTTTAGGAAAACTTTTAAAAAACTATATACAATATCAACAAAAAATGAAAAATTTTCGAGTTATTCGGAATTTAATTTTACCATCCCTCGTAACTTTTTCTCCAGCTTCTTTTCGTTGAAGTATGTTATATAGATAAATTTAAAGGGCGTCGAGAAAATGACTTTAGCGAAGTTTCATTGAAATCTGTACATTCGTATAGGAGCTACAGTCTATAGCAACGCAGGTTTTTCGGCCCCCATTTTGAAAGTTAAAGGCGGAGAGTAATGTCGATGAAGGAGGATCATCCTCGGGTGACCTCTGATTTTATATCAAAATTTGAAAAAAATCGGCCCAGTAGTTACTGAGAAAATGCGCGGACGGCGGACGGACAAAACATTTTTATTCGTTTTTCGAATTCTTGATACGCGAAACCTCAAATTTTGAGAGGGGGTTATGTTTTTGAATTTTTTGGTCGGTCACAATGTTTCATTATTGAAAATAATAAACCAATAAGTATTATACTCTTAAAAGTTAGATTGAAAAATATTGAATATATTATTTAAAAATGCTATAATTTACGAGGAATCTCTATGCACATCAACATTCAACTAATTACAGATTCGGCAAAGATTTTAGTTTTAAATATTTAGTTCTTTTAGACCCTGATTTTTTCGGCTTTGGAAATTATTAAATTGCATATAATTCAATTTAAAAAAATGTGGTGGTGAGAAGCATCTGTTTTGATCATTTGTACGATCAAAATACAACACTAATAGACACAAAAGATTCTAAAATGAGCTTACATAAGTTTTTAATTAACTTATACAGTATCAAAATGCATAAAAATATTTTAAAATATTTCAAAATATTAATAAAAGCGGTGAAGCTCTATAATAGAATTTAATTAGAAGGTATTGCCAATGACCCTGCAGGATAGAGGAACAAAAAAAAAAACTAAATAAATTTTAAAAAAGAAATTCATCGAGATTTGGATTTATTTCTCAAAATTATGTGCAGACCAGTTATAATTACATTACATTACCGACAAATAACAAAATCATTTAGCAGGATATATATAGAGAATTAAATTGTTGATTTCATGTTTTTATGTTTAGCCTGAAATCCAAAGGATTTTTTGTAATATGGTCGTCTTTTAGTGACACTAGTGTTGCCCAAATGCGAAACCGATACGTGTCTTGGTCTTGCGAACTCAGTGTTGGTCCAGGTCGTGGTCTTGCGCAAGAGTCTCGCAACGGTCTTGCAGCTACCTATTAGTTTATTACTATAGAGATATTACTGTATTTTTTTAGTTAGGGGAAACCTAAGTAAGCC